TTCACCATGTTGGTCAGGCTGGTCTCAAACTCATGACCTCAGGTGATCCGCCCACCTCGGCCTCCCAAAGTGCTGGGATTACAGGTGGGAGCTGCTGCACCCGGCTCAATGTAAGAAACTTTAATAAGGGAAACAATGAGATTTGTCAAGCAGCAGACATTGCAGATAGCCTCATGACGAAACTTGCATTGGATTTTTGGAGAATCCATAAATAACTCAAGAAACCATAAATCTGTAACAACTCAGGGTGCTCCCCTTGGTGACCAGGCCAGATTTCTCCAGGTCAGACCACGAGGCTAGCCTCCACAACAGACTCCAGCCCATGGATGAATCTGCAGAAAGGAGGACGTGGCTCCCCCACCTCACCCTGCAAGCCCTCTTCTCCACACCCCTGTATTTGCTTGTTTATTGACAATCGTCAACAGACAACAGTTCGTTCTCTCTCGTAAGTAAATTTCTGTGCAAAGAACTATGTATCTGCAAGCTGTTTTTTATTTAAAACAGTATGATTGAGAGAGAGAGACACAGGAGCAAGGTGCTAGAACATTCTGTGTTTTAATCTGGTACATGAGGATGTTCATTTTATGAAAATTTATCAGATGTATACTTAATATACTTTAAGTAATGAAGGATTAATATACTTTACTTACATATACTTATATATTATATATAATTGTATGCAATATGTAAAGTATACTAATCACAACTATATATAATATTTCTATTAAAATTGTATTTAAAAAAAGAAGTTAGGACCTAACAAGAAATAAGGAACTAAAAAAATAATTTGAACATGTTACCACTTTCTGGCTGAAGGAACACGAAGGCTAAATAAAGATCACACACACACACACACATACACAAAGACACACAAAGACACACAGACACACACAGACACTCACATACACACAGGTACAAACAATACACATAAAAACACATACATACACACTGTCACATACACAGACATATACACACAGAGACACACACAGACACACACAGAGACACAAACACAGACACACACACAGACACACAGAGACACACACAGATACACAGACACACACACAGAGACACACACAGACACATACACACACGGAGACACACACACAGACACACACAGAAACATACCTACACAGAGACACAGACACACACATACACACACAGAGACATACACACAGACACACGCACAGACACATACACAGAGATACACACAAGACACACACACACACATAGACACACACACACAGACACACACAGAGAGACACACACAAAGACACAGACATACACACAGGCACAAACACACATACACAGACATAGAGTTCTTACATAGTAACGCTGGTTTTTTTGTTTGTTTTTTTGAGACAAACTCTTGCTGTGTCACGCAGGCCGGAGTGCAGTGGTGTGCTCACCGCTCACTTTAACCCTAACTTCACAAGCTCAAGAGATCCTCCCACCTCAGCCTCCGGAGTAGCTGGGACAACAGGCACATGCCACCATGCCTGGCTAACTTTTTATAGAGATGGGGGTCTCACTATGTTGCCCGGGTTAGTCTTGAACTCTTGGACTCAAGTGATCCTCCCACCTTGGCCTCTCAAAATGCTGGGATTCCAGGTGTGATCTGACAATGCTCAGCCTTAAGGACTTCGTTTCTGTGGCTATCCCCTTGTTCCCAGCGCTGTCATCAACGTCTCCCTGTAGACCTGAGCATCTGAATGCATCTCTACTATCTCCTACTGAGCTGTCGGCCTGCCTTCCTTCAGTCACCTTGCCTGGTGGAGTGTGCACGCACTGCCACCTCCTCCAGCCCAGCCTCTGGGCCACCTGCTGCAGGAAGGTCTTCCTTCTCTCCAGCCACAGCAGATGCTCCTGGAGCTTCTGCCGGAGGGAGGAGTCACCAGAGGGCTTCCAGCCTGATGGACTCTACCCATCCTCACCTTTCTCAGCCTTTCAACAGCATTCACACAGTTAGATGCTTCCTTAAGATTCTTTTCTTTTTTTTTTTTTGCATCTGTCAACCACGCTTACCTGGTTTTCTTCCCTTCACTGGCTGCTCCTTCTCAGTTCTTTTCTTGGCTGCTCAACCCTTAGATGTTGGAGAGCCCCCAGGTTTGGTCTTGGGTCTTCATTTTTTTTTTTTTTTGAGATGGAGTCTTGCTCTGTTGCCCAGGCTGGAGTGCAGTGGCGCGATCTCAGCTCACTGCAACCTCCACCTCCCAGGTTCACGTGATTCCCCTGCCTCAGCCTCCTGAGTAGCTGGGATTACAGGCACCTGCCACCACGGCCAGCTAATTTTTTTGTATTTTTAGTACAGACAAGGTTTCACCATGTTGGTCAGGCTGGTCTCAAACTCTTGACCCTATGATCTGCCCACCTCGGCCTCCCAAAGTGCTGGGATTACAGGCGTGAGCCACTGTGCCCAGCCTTCATTCTTTTCCAGCTGTACTATTTCCCCAGGGGAGCTCAGCCAGCACCGTCCCATCCATGTGCTGATGACTCTCAAATATTTCTCTCCACTCCTCAGTTATCACGTTGATGTGATGTCTTAGCAGGGTCTTCCAACCCCTGAACCCCCGGGCTGTGGACAAGTAGTGATCCACGGCCTGTTAGGAACCGGGCCACCGAGCAGGAAGTGAGTGGTGGGCAAGTGAGTGAAGCTTCATCTGTATGTATGTATGTATGTATGTATGTATTTATTTATTTATTTATTGAGACGGAGTCTTGCTCCGTCGCCCAGGCTGGCACGATCTCGGCTCACTGCAAGCTCCGCCTCCCGGGTTCACGCCATTCTCCTGCCTCAGCCTCCCGGGTAGCTGGGACTACAGGCGCCCGTCACCACGCCCGGCTAATTGTTTTGTATTTTTAGTAGAGACGGGGTTTCACCGTGTTAGCCAGGATGGTCTCGATCTCCTGACCTCGTGATCCGCCTGCCTCGGCCTCCCAAAGTGCTGGGATTACAGGCGTGAGCCACCGCGCCCGGCCGCTTCATCTGTATTTAAAGCTGCTCCCCATCACTCACATTACCGCCTAATCTCCGCCTCCTGTCAGATCAGCAGGGGTATTAGATTCTCATGGGAACACGAAGCCTATTGTGAATTGTGCACGTGAGGGATGCAGGTTGCAGGCTCCTTATGAGAATCTCACGCCTGACGATCTGAGGTGGAACAGTTTCATCCCAAACCATCCTCACCCCGAGTCGGTGCAAAAATTGTCTTCCATGAAACTGGTCCCTGGTGCCAAAAAGGCTGGGGACGGACGTCTTCCAGGATTCTCAAAATTACTGTGTCAAAAAACCTTGACTTCCCTCCAAAATGAACTGTTCCTACCCAACTTTCTCCCATCTCTTTAACTGTGCAGCTCTTCCCCCTCGTTATTTAGACCCTAAGCAAGGAGTTATCCTTGACTCTTCTGTTTCCTTCACACCGCACACCCCACACTGGCAAATCCTAGCAGCTCTAGCTTCAAAATATATCCCGTTTGACCATCTCTTACCTAACACGCTACTTCAAACCACCACTGTCTCCCACCTGGATATAACCATGTTAGTCTCCTGAATGGCCTTTCTACGTCCCCACTCTTGCCTCTCTGTGATGTGATGTATTCTCCACACAGTAGCCAGAGTAGACTCTCTAAAAACTATGAATCAGATCAGCCACTTTCCTGCTCAGAACTCTCCAGCAAGCTAAAAAAAGTCCATTTTATGGAGGTATGGAGTAGAATGATGGTTGCCAGAGGCTGGGAATGGGGGTGGATGAAGAGAGGTGGGTTAATAGGTACAACTAGGCCGGGTGCGGTGGCTCATGCCTGTAATCCCAGCACTTTGGGAGGCGGAGGCGGGCAGATCACGGGAAGTCAGGAGTTTGAGATCAGCCTGACCAACATGATGAAACCCCGTCTCTATGAAAAGTACAAAAAGTAGCCAGGCATAGTGGCAGGTGCCTGTAATCCCAGCTGGAGGCTAAGGCAGGAGAATCGCTTGAACCCAGGAGGCAGAGGTTGCAGTGAGCCGACATTGCACCACTGGACTCCAGCTTGTGCGACAGAGTGAGACTCTGTCTCAAAAAAAAAAAAAGTACAAATACACAGTTAGATCAAATAAGTTCTTACGTTTCATAGCACAGGAAGGTGACCACAGTTAATATAAATAGCTAGAAGAGATTTGAAATGTTCCCGACACAAAGAAATGATAAGTGTTTGAGGTGATGGATATTCTAAATACCCTACTTTGGCCATTACACATTGTATGCCTGTATCAAAATATCACATGTACCCCATATATATGTACAATTATTATGTGTCAATTTTTTAAAAACAATGACTAAAACAGAAGCATAAAAAAAAAAAAAAAAAAACAAAAAACACATCTCCACTTGCTATCCACTATACTTAGAAGAGTTCAAACTTTATACCTCAAGCTCAGAAAGGTAGGTTCTGACATGGCCCCTGTCCATTCCTGCTCTCTCTACTCCTGCGTGTCTCTGCTCCGGCCACAGTTCTGGTTTCTTCAGTCCCTCACACATCCAGCGCTCACTCCTAGCTTTCACCCTGGAGGGCTCCTCTCCTGGACACACCCTAAGCTTCTACACAAGCCACTCTGTCTCACTCAGGGCTCTGCTCAGTGTTATCCCCTAGAAAGATGTTCCCCACCCACCCTATCTCCAGGACCCTGTGCACCCTCCCTCCTCCACCCCGGGCCTGGATACCCTCTTCCCTGATTCTCTTTGCCATTCTTCCTTCTTTAAGTACCATGTTCCCAGGTTTACTTATTTATAACAGTAAGCTACACAGGGGCAGAGCAAAGGTACCTGTGGCTGGAGGGTAGAGGATGGGGAGAAGCGGGCAAGGAAGGGCAGGTCATAGAAGATCCCATTTAAGAGATGAACAAACCTCTCGTAATGATGGACGCTTTCCATTCGAGGCTACGAAGTGACAGGGCTTTCATACAGAGCAATAACAATGGACGTTACAGGAAATGAAAATAAACCAAGCACACGTAACCAACGTACCCTTTTCCTGGTTGCAGAGGCTGTTGGTGAAGATGGGAGAGTCGGGAACCTGCGGCAGGGAGGGGCAGGGGGCAGAGCTCCAGGACAGCAGGCTTCCCCTTGTGCTGCCAGCGTAGCTCCCGAGCCGTAGGAGCCAGTGATCGGACAGGGAGGAGCTGGTAGAGCCTGTGGAGGAAACACAGAGAGGGAGGCTGAGCCCAACCCTAGACCTTCAGAGTCCTAGGGGAGCCCCTCACAGCCAGATCCCCATTCCGGCCCCATCCTTCAGCCCCGGAACTACAGAACCAGAGCAGAACTGCAGAAACCAGTCAATGACGAGAGGGGAAACCTGTGATTGGGTACCCATGTGACGAAGCTTACAAGTTTAGGGAGAGGCATTTGAGCACAAAAATGAAAGTATGGGCCGGGGCGCAGTGGCTCACGCCTGTAATCCCAGCACTTACGGAGGCCTAGGCGAGCGGATCACCTGAGGTCAGGAGTTCGAGACCAGCCTGACCTACATGATGAAATCCCATCTCTACGAAACATACAAAAAATTAACCGGGTGTGGTGGCGGGCGCCTGTAATCCCAGTTACTCAGGAGGCTGAGGCAGGAGGATCGTGTAAACCTGGGAGGCGGAGGTTGCAGTGAGCCGAGATCATGCTACTGTACTCCAGCCTGGGCAACAGGAGTGAAACTCCATCTCAAAAAATAAAAAACAAAACAACAACAACAGCAGCAAACGAAAGTACGTTGACAAGCATTGAAATGCTTTCCATGAAATTCCTTGTCACCAGCTTTGGCGTCCTAAATATGATTTTGTTTCTTTTCCAGAGTCAAAGGACTGTGTTACTCAGAGCTATAGCCAGAGGCAGAGTAACAGTATTTTATTACCAGTACCAGGGCCCCAGTACACAGAGTTCAACAGGTAATAGCCACGTTACAGGAGTGTATCCCCAGTTTAGGGAAACCAAATCTTTTACAATGGGCAGTAAGGATGCCTACCTTTTGCACCATAGAGATACATTGTTTTTATTATACTGGACAGTTAGAAAACCTTCTTTTCTCTAATAGGACAGGTTTTTAATTCTTTTTTCAACATCTCCTTCTATAAATGGAAGCTGGACTTGCGTTAGGATTGATTTAGACCTGCTGAGGACTCTTGGATTTATTTGGCCATTTTGTGATAACTGTTAGGAGAAAATCTGCTTAATTTTTTTTTTTTTTAATGCTCTCTTGTCCCAAAGATAAGGACAGTTGGTTTGCAGCATGAAATAAATCACACGAAAGGGTCAGCTTTGGCACTTTCTTTCTCCAGTTCCAAGCAAGTTTGAGGCTGTCTAATAAATGAATTTCTGGAGTGCAGCAGTGTTTAAACAGCTCCCTTTGAGACGCTGAGGCGGGCGGATCAAGAGGTCAAGAGATCAAGACCATCCTGGCCAACATGGTGAAACCGTGTCTCTGCTAAAAATACAAAAATTAGCCGAGCATGGTGGTGGCACGTGCCTGTAGTCCTAGCTACTTGGGAGGCTGAGACAGGAGAATTGCTTGAACCCGGGAGGCGGAGGTTGCAGTGAGCCAAGATCATGCTGCTGCACTTCAGCCTGGTGACAGAGCGAGACTCCCTCTCAAAAAAAAAAAAAAAAAAAAAAAAAAAAAGCTACCTTTCCTAGAAAAGTCCAGGATCCTTTATAACTGCCCTGCCTTTCCAACAGGACTGACATCAGTTTATATTACACACACCTAATAAAACCTGCTGTGATATGAGACTAGGAATATGGAATTCCACACTGCCAAGTGTCACCTGCCCTGAATACAAATAATTATCCTTTTCCCCTTTCCTGAATTATCATCTATCCATCCCACACCCTGGCAAATGAACAACTAGTCTGTGCTGCTCAGATTTCTACAGCATCGGCCCGGGCTTCCTCTTTCAGATCCTTGCCAACCTCTCCTGGTCCTGCTGAGCCTCTTCCCAGTTCTTTAAGTGACTTCACCACACCCCCTCCTGTCATGAGCAGCAGCACCTACCTCTCATGGAGCTGCTGGCTGACCAGGGGGGGATGCTGTTCCGCTTCTGATAGAAGAGGATATAAGCCCCTCTGGTGTTGACCTCATCTTCTCGAAGCGGTTCCACCGTGCTGTCATCGTAACTGTACCACTGGCCATCCAGAGAGTTCCGGCAGTAGGCTGCAAAGGTCCCAACCCCAAGTCTCAGTTACTGGAGCCCCAAAAGGTAGGAAGGCATTTCCCACTGGCATAGCTGAAAAAGTGGTATGTTTAAACCAGAATGAGAAAAAAAAAAAACAACAGTTCATTTTTGGCCAGAAATGAACTTTTTTGGAATCAGAAAAGATCAATAGGTTATACCCACGGATTCTTACTGATAACAAGTGCTGTTATTTTTTTTATTTTTGTTTATTTATTTATTTATTTTGGAGACAGAATTTCGCTCTTTTACCCAGGCTGGAGTGAAGTGGCACCTTCTCGGCTCACGGCAACCTCCGTCCCCCAGGTTCTAGCAATTCTCCTGCCTCAGCCTCCTGGGTAGCTGGGATTACAGGTGCCTGCCACCACACCCGGCTAATATTTGTATTTTTATTAGAGATGGGGTTTCACCATGTTGGCCAGACTGGTCTTGAACTCTTGACCTAAGGTGATCCACCCACCTCGGCCTCCCAAAGTGTTGGGATTACAGGCGTGAGCCACCGCGCCCGGCCAAGAGTACTGTTATTGTAAGTTGAATATTTTACCCCTTCCTCAGGCAAAATCTCTGAAAAAAGGGAGCTCCCAAGTCAGGTAGCCAAACAATAATGTCAGCGTTCACCCCATTTCTTCTGAGAAGCTTCAAAATGCTTATCTCTGATTAAGTATGCAATAAAAGTGAAGACGAGAATCACAATTGGGCTCATGGCATACCTCTTTCTAAGAACTGAAGTCAAACATCTAAGGAAAGTTCATACATATTCTCACCACTTCTCAAACAACCACAACAAAATATCCTTTTCCTTGCCCTCTACGTGTCAGCAAATGACAGCATAACCCAGTAATCTGGAGGTTTGCAAACTTCTCCCATAAGGGACCAGATGACAAATATTGAGGCTTTGCATATGTTCTCTGACATGTTCTCTGACACACTTCATGTATGCCTTTCTCCCACTTTTAAAATTGTAAAAACCGTTTTTAACCCATGAATTATTAATAAAGTAAAAAAAGTTAAAAAAAAAAAAAAAAAAAAAAAAACGGCCGGGCACAGTGGCTCACACCTGTAATCCCAGCACTTTGGGAGGCCGAGGTGGGTGAATCACAAGGTTAGGAGTTCAAGGCCAGCCTGGCCAACATAGTGAAACCCCGTCTCTACTAAAAATACAAAAAATTAGCTAGGCGTGGTGGTGGGCGCCTGTAATCCCAGCTACTTGGGAGGCTGAGGCAGGAGAATCGCTTGAACTCAGCAGGCAGAGGTTGCAGTGAGCTGAGATTGTACCACTGCACTCCAGCCCCGGCAACAGAGTAAGACTCCATCTCAAACAACAACAACAACAAACAGGCCCTAGATTGGATCCGGCCCATGGGCCACCGTTTGCTGACCTCCACAGTAATCCAAGCCAGCCACCTAGGAGTTCATCTTCGCTCTTGCTTTTCCTTCCACTTCACACCTAGTCCAAAAGCCAGACCTATTGATTCTACTTTCAAAATATGTCTCAAATATCTTGATTGTCAACACCAGCATCTCAGCCAATGGTGTCTCACTCAGCCCCTGAAGCACCCTCCGAAATGGAATTCCAACTTCCACTCCAGATCCCTTCTACATATTCTCCATACAGCAGAACAACTAGTTTGATTTGTACACTAGATTATGTCTTCACTCCTCTGCTTAGAACCTTTAAATGATTTATCATCCCTTTGGAAAAAATGCAAACTCCCATCCATGGCCTAGAGTGTCCTGCCCACTTCTCCAGCCCCACCCTTCGTCACTTAGCCCCGAACAGCCGCACTTCATCCAGGCTCTCATCATGTCTTAAACACACTGAATGCTTTCTGCCTCAGGGCCTTTGCACGTGCTACAGGCTCTGCTCATAATGCGATTCCTCCCATTGTTCACATAGCTAGTTCTATCTCATCCTTAGCCCTGAGCCTACCTGTGACGTCCTTGGAGAGGCCTTATATCTATCACAGACACAGTCAGTCAGTCAATCAGTCGCCCTTTCAAAATGCCAGGTAGTGAAAGTGCTAAAATAATAAGCATCTTTTTATTGTCTGTCCCCAAAGTGAGACTGAAGTCCCATGAGGGCAGGCCTCATATTTGTCTTGTTCATCACTGAAGCTCCAGGACCTAGTGCAGGGTCTGGCATAGAATGGGTACTTAATAGATATTTGTGCAATGAATTAATGAGCGAAGATCCTGGATTTCTATATAGTTCGGTGTCTTCCAAATTGCCAGTCATCAGCCCATCAGGACACTGGTAATCAGTGCACTTAAAAAAAAAAGTTTAATAAGTAAAAAATAAAATATTTTAAAGCTTTTTTCTTTTTTCTTTTTTTTTTTTTTTGAGATAGAATCTCGCTCTGTTGCCCAGGCTGGAGTGCAATGCCGTGATCTCGGCTCTCTGCAAGCTCCGCCTCCCGGGTTCACTCCATTCTCCTGCCTCAGCCTCCCAAGTAGCTGGGACTACAGGTGCCCGCCAACACGCCTGGCTAATTTTTTTGTATTTTTAGTAGAGACGGGGTTTCACTGTATTAGCCAGGATGGTCTCGATCTCCTGACCTAGTGATCCGCCCATCTTGGCCTCCAGAAGTGCTGGGATTACAGGCGTGAGCCACCGCGCCCAGCCAAAGCATTTTTTAAATTCATTAATATGTTATTCCGGAATAGAATGGACTAAGGTATATCACATGTAGCAAATGTAATCATCGTGTCATGAAATTCTGTTTTGTCTTAATCAATGTATGTACACATAAACACATATACGCACGTATGTAAATAGATGTGCACACCAGGAGGTCATGATGGAACCCAGTGTTTCATTTTGCCATTTAGTCAAGTGCCTCATCATAATATTTTATTTCATTGAACATCTTTTAAGTTTATTTTGATATGTAAAATGGCAAACAAAAATCCACTAAAAACAAAAAATACATCTATGGTGTGACAGCACTTATGTAAAAGTATACGGCAACTTGAAAGCTGCCAATTGTTGGGGCCTACAATATGTTCCATATTGGGGCCTCTTACATATGTTAGTTCTAGTCATAAAAATCCCGGGCTGGCCACGGAGACTCACACCTCTAATCCCAGCCCCTTGGGAGGCCGAGGTAGGCAGATCACGAGGTCAGGAGTTCGAGATCAGCCTGGCTAACACAGTGAAACCTCGTCTCTACTAAAAATACAAAAAATTAGCTGGGTATGGTGGCACGTGCCTGTAGTCCCAGTTACTCAGGAGGCTGAGGCAGGAGAATCGCTAGAACCCGGGAGGCAGAGGTTTCAGTGAGCCGATATCGTGCCATTGCACTCCAGCCTGGGTAACAGAGTGAGACTCCATCTCAAAAAAAAAAAAAAAAAAAAAAAAAAAAAAAATTAATATCTAATATGGCAGATGGCATCTCAAGGAATAAATTTGGCTTTTCCATGAGTAGTGATCTTGGGACAGACTGGCAACTCCGGGGGGATAAAGTTGGATCTCTTTCTCTCAAGAACGTTAAGAAACTCCAGATCAAGGATTTAAATGTAATGAGCTAAAACCAAGTAGAAAACTCAAGAGAAACACTTTTTAATCTTAGAGTGAAAAAGGCTCTCTAATCATGACTCAAAATCCAAATGATTGACAATTTTACCTAGAAAAGCAAAAATAAAAGCTTTCTGCATAGCAAAAAATTTCCACAGGAATAGCCAACTGACAGATGTTACACAGGGAACGAATACTTGTAATTCATATTACAGAAAAGAGGTGAATCTCATAGTCCATTAAGAATTAGAGCATCTAGAAATCGATGGGAAAAAGACTAATAATTTATTTGAAAAACAGTCAAGGACACGGATAGACAGTTTACAGGAAAGGAAACACAATGACTCACACACACAAGATGCTCACGCTCACAACTATTAAGACGCTAAATATTCAACTTACACTGAGATACCATTTTCCTCGTATTAGATTGGCAAAATTCCAAAAGTGTGATTGCACACTCTGCTGGAAAGGCTACAGAGAACCAGGTGCTCTCTTACTCTTATCAGAGTGCAAACTGCTATGACCCTTTGTGCAGGACATCTTGTTCATGCTTGTTACAACACAGACACAGCTATTCCAATTCTGAGAATTTATCCCGCCAATAAACTTCCATATCTAGAAAATGACATATCTAAAGGGTTATGACAGCAATGTGTGTGTGTGTGTGTGTGTGTGTGTGTGTGTGTGTGTGTTTAATTGAGAAAGAGTCTCGCTCTGTCACCCAGGCTGGAGTGCAGTGGTGCGATCTTGGCTCATTGCAATCTCCACCTCTGGGTTCAAGCAATTCTCCTGCCTCAGCCCTCCTAATAGCTGGGACTACAGGCAGATGCCACCACGCCTGGCTGATTTTTGTATTTTTAGTAGAGACAGGGTTTCATCATGTTGGCCAGGCTGGTCTTGAACTTCTAACTTCAAATGATCTGCCTGCCTCAGCCTCCCAAAGTGCTGGGATTACAGGCGTGAGTGACTACACCCAGCCGACAGCAACATTTGTAATAGTAGAAGAATGAATCAGTCCAACGTCCATCTACAGAGTATTTAATAAATGGTTATATTTATTTAGTGCATTTACATTTATAAAAGAAGATGGAGAAGCTGTCTAGAAATGAGAACATGAAAATATTTCCAAGATAGATTTTCAGGGAAAAATAAAAAGCCAGGTGCAACACAGCAAATAGTACTTTTACTTAAATTAGGGGGAGGGGAGAAAATATATAAAATCAACACATATATATGTATATATAAAAATATACTCACAATTGCTTGTATTTACATAAAGAAATTGTGGAAGAATAGTACACAAGAAACTACTAAAAATGGTTACCTATAAATGAGGAGGGGGTAGATGAGGAACAAAGATAGAATCAAAACTTGTCACCGTCCGTGTTTTTTAGGCTGTGTGAATTTTGAAACACAGGCATGCATTACCCACTCAACACATTTAAAATGAAACAAAAGGCATTTGAGATTTCTAAAACCCTGAAATGTGGTAGGACTATCATACTTCCAAGAAGCAAATAATTAAAAAGGAATAAAAATGTCAAAAGACATGAGATAGAAAGCAACAGCTCAGCTTTGAGGGCCCAGCAAGCAGATAGAGTGGAGGTCACACACTCGCCTCTGGCAAGGAAGGGGTTCAACACAGAGTGCCTGGGGGAGGTGGAGAGGGTGCAGGGGGGCAGGAAGGGGGCCACCCACCAGCTGTAGCCCCAGAGGCTCAGTACTGGATGTGTCAGGAATCACAAGAAGTCAAGCCAAGTGAGGACTCAAAACAAAACCAAGATGCTCTGAAAAAGAAACCTAAGACTAGGCCAGGCACATTGGCTCATGCCTGTAATCCCAGCCCTTTGGGAGGCCGAGAAAGGCAGATCATTTGAGGTCAGGAGTTCAAGACCAGCCTGGCCAACATGGCGAAACCCCATCTCTACTAAAAAATACAAAAATTAGCTGGGCGTGGTGGCGGGCACCTGTAGTCCCAGTTACTCAGGAGGCTGGGGCAGGAGAATCACTTGAACCCAGAAGGCAGAGATTGCAGTGAACTGAGATCGCTACCACTGCACTCTAGCCTGGGTGACACAGTGAGATTCCATCTCACAAACAAAACAAAACAAAAAAGCACAAAGATTATTTCCCAGACCTGAAGATCACGTGTCTGCAGACACACAGGTCCCCCTGAACGCAGGTCCCAACACAAGCAACGAGAAAGACCCACAGGTAAGCACACTCCGTGAAATTTCAGAGCACCTGTGATAAAGAACCTGAAAAAGCCTCCAGAGAGAAAAATATATCCTATCCTAGACAAAGGAACAGAAATCAGACTGGCCTGATTCATTCTCAACAGCAAAACCCCACTCCAGACCCCACTCCACGTGGAGCAACATTGTTGATTTTTCCATCACGGACTTTATGTCCCACCAGGCTATCAATCAGGTGTGGAAATAAAGGCATTTCCTGACACGTAAGCACTCCAGAGGTCAAGCTCCCATCACCCTTTCCTAGGAAGTCACCGAGGGTGTGCTTCACCTAAATGAGGGAGGTGACACTCATCGACAACACCCTACATGGCTTGGAGACTTGTTCCTATCAGGAATCACTCATCTCGGCAGGGCAGAAGCTACTGAACCTGGAGCCAGGGTGACCCAGGTTTGAAGCCCAGGCTCTGCCATTTAATGGGCAGTGCAGACTGTCTTGAGGGAAAAGATGGTGTATGCTGGCGCAGATGAGAACAAGTGGCCTGGATCTTACCCAGGGCTGTGCTGGCTGCAGACACTGCCCTGCCTCCCACCTCGCCAGTCCCTTATTCCCCTTGGACTCCTCTCCCTTTGGTTTTAGTATTAAGTAGGCTCTTTCCTGGCAGGTGGTGGTACACTGTGTGTGCAAACACAGACCCAGGAGATCTCTGCAAGGGGAACCTCCCAGGGACTGTGTCCCTTCTGTATCAAACCACCGCCCCCCAAATCGGGCATTCTGCTCTGTAACGCTCACCCCAGGAGGGGCCTGGATCTCGCTTTTCATAAGGCAGACACCAACGCTTCTCACGCCTATGCTACTTCTAACTCCCTGCTGTGGTTTTACATCACGGCCCTTAATTTATGTTGGGGCACCCTGTGGGTTTATAGATGGGGAGGCAGCACGTTCAGCATGGGAAATGACAAGGTCTAGGTTCCAGCTGTCCTTATTTTCACCACTCATGTGTGCACGGGGACTCATTCAGCCATAACGCTCTTAGTTAAAAAAAAAAAAAAAAAATCTGAGTAACAGAGATGCCTCCCAAGATACATATGGGCCTCAGGGGATTCCTGCTGAGCTATTTTCAGCCCAGAGAAGTGAGACGGGGAAGTGGCTGGACAGAACGGTCCCAGCAGTTACAAAGGTGGCAAGGCCTCATCTGGAGCAGGACAACTGTGGAAGAACAGGCTGGCACCGCACAGCAGCGTAAGGCGGCCACTGTGAGCTGCAAGCGGCTTTGGTGGCCCCCATAACCCTCACCGTGACCAGCCCAGGCTGGCCCAGTGTAACCCGACCGTCCAGCGCATCTCTGTCCAATCAGGTGGTCCCCAGCCTGTAACGGCATCCTCATTTCTCTTTCTCCATGGGCGCCTGTTCCATCCATTCTCTGATGATGGAAATCATGCCCTAAACCCCTTAGACTGCTAAGGCTCACCCCGATGACCCTCCACACTATCTGCATGGTGGAGACGCTCAACTGCTGCAGCTACCAATAGGCTTCTCACCATCACTGAGATGCCCTGGTGGGGGAGAAGCAAACAAACAAGACATAATCGAGAAAAATGATCCATCATGACACTCTCTGAAAGCCCTCAAAGGGATGATTATAAACAATGGAGAAAATCGTCTGGCCACTTGTTTCTGCCCTTCCCTTCATCCGCTGCTCTGAAGTTCCCCAGAGGAACAAACGTGAAAAGTACGCCACAGAATACAAGGCCACCAAATCCGGTAAGTAAGATTCCTCACACTGAATCGCAGATGAGAATGAACGTCACTCTCTCGGTTCCAATAACGACCTCCCATATTTCATATGGTTGAAAATTTGGGTGATAACTAACCTCTGTTTGTTGGTTTATTTGTTTTGGAGACAGGGTCTCGCTCTGTTGCCCAGGCTGGAGTACAGTGGTGCAATCATGGTTCACCACAACCTCAGCCTCCTGGGCTCAAGGGATCCTCCTATCTCAGCCTCCTGAGCAGCTAGGACTACAAGTCCAATCAGGACTTGTAGCCACAATCAGCCACAATGCCCAGTTCATTTTTTTTTTCTTCATTTTTTTTTTGTAGAGACGGGGGTCTCGCTTTGTTGCCTAGGCTGGTCTCGAACTCGTGGCCTCAAGTGATTCTTCCACCTCAGCCTCCCAAAGTGCTAGGATTACAGGCATGAGCTACTGCATCAGGCCTAACTTTATATATTCCAACCTCCAACCTAACTCAACGTCAACTCTGTAGCTGGGACAAGGTCCCTTCTGCTCTCGCACATGCCCTGGTGTGCAGTGAGTGAGGGGTCAGATCTCACTAAGTGCCCCAGGGAGCTCAGCATCCGAGCAGCACCCATTCCAGGGACATCTCGAGGCTGTGGCCACAGCTGCATTGGCAGAAAGGCAAGGCAAGGCTCACCTGTGTAATGCCCACCTTGCAGGTTGCCGTGGTGGTTGCAGACGGCGTACAGGTCGTACAGGAAGTCCAGCGGGTAACTGGTGGGCAGGCAGCCCGGCTGCTTCCAGGAAGGCCAGGGGCCCAGTCCTGCCTCGGGGCTGGTGCTTCTCTGGGCCACATGGGGAGCCATGTTGAGTCCAGAGAGTGGAAACTTCACCAGCGTGGAGAGCTTGTTTCTTCTCTCGCCCACCTGGCAGAACCTTTTGAGGTGGATGATGAGGATGTCAGGCAGTGTCCACAAACTCAGCTTCACCATCCCCTGCTGCAGGACTTGGCAGTGCGGACACTTCCAGGCGTCATCCTGGGCCAGCTGGAAAGGAAACCACCCGGACTGTGAGGTCCCTGCGGCACGGGGCCAACCCACCAAAGGCAGCCAGCCCCCTTCCCGGGCGGGGCGTGGACCCCCAGGGCGGGACCTGCTCCTCCTTGGTGTAGAACTGAAAACACTCATCCAAGGTACAGCTGTGCTGCTGGTGCGCCTGCTGCTGCTGCCACACGCTGTCGGCATCCTGCGCCCGCTCCTCCTGGAGGTTCCCGAACAGGCTGCACAGAGAGGACACCCACGGCGTTCAGGACTTTCCCGCTCCGAGACGGGCTTCATCTATGTCTCTACTCACAGTAAACCCGCCACAAGGCATCGGCCAGGCGACGCTACCGTGCCCTGTCTATGGGTTCCTGGGGAGCTGCAGGCATCCTTCGGACTCAGCACTATATTCTACTGGAATTTTCTCTCCCCCACCAGCTCCTACAGGGACCGGGTTCTTGGCTTATTCATCTTTGTTTTCCTCATCCTAGCACAGGGGCCTGGCACCTAGTAGTTGATCAATAAATACTTGCTGGAGTGAACAATGGCCTTTCTTAAAGCAAGGCTGATGCCCTCAGTGTTACAGAGGTAGCCAAGTGTGGTAATGAGGAGCATGGACTCCAGCCAGAGGGTCTGGGTTCAAATCCCAGCTCTACCAGTGTACGAGCTGTGTGCCCTCCAGCAATTGCTTAACCTCTCTGTGCCTCAGTTTCCACCTCTGAGAAATGTGGATTACAGGAGTACCCACCCCAGACCACCCACACACAGGGTGTGAAGAAGATTAAATAAATCCCCTGTACACACGTAAAGTGTTCAGAGCAGTGACTGGCACGGGGTAAGTGGGTGGGTGCTGCGTAACTGTCTACTGTGACTGCAGTTACTACTCTTGACATCACCCACCACCACCACTGTCACTCCATTCCTGTCACTGTTATTTACATACAGAAAATTCTCACTCAGGCATCTCGCAGGAACGGGTTACACTGGCTCAAAGATGTGGGCACCCTGCCTGCAGCCATGCTGGGGGAAGCTGCATCCAGGGAAACCTGGGCACCGAGAGGGCCCTGTCTCAGCTCTTCAGGAGGTAAATTCCCTTGAACTCACCGCTCCTTGACAGAGCTATCCCACTCCACCGCCAGCTTGACATGCGGGGGGCCTCCCGGCCTCCTGAGATGCAAAGCCCTGAGAAGAGAACAAGAGAGCCCATCAGAAAACACGGGACCTCCTTCCCGCAGCTCTTCAGGGCTCAGCAGTCTCCCCGCAACCCGGGGACTGATGTTCCAAACAGAAATACCCAAACTGCCTGTAAGCCAAGGTCAGCCATCCCCAGAGGCTGCTAAGTCGGCTGAAGGCTCCGTCTCAGACCTTCAGACCTACCTCATAGTGCCCTCCCCTCACTCCCATGGCAGCCTGTGAGCTCTATAGATTTGGAATTACTTCGAGGAGATAGATCAACTGTTCCACTGAAGCCGCAGCTACCCTCTCAGTGTCTACAGGGCACTTCCACTCAACCATCCTACACAAATACCCAATACTGAGGAAGCCCAAAGAGCTGCTACCTTGCCCCCCACTGCAGTACAGAAGGAACACCCTTATGCCCCCCTCCATGACCTAAGAACTCTTCTCCTTCCAAACCCTCCAATACATAGAAAATCCCAGTGCTCTGTCAACCTGTAGCTCTTTCCAACTACCTGGGCCCAGCCCATTCCAGAAAAGGTGGATCAGCCTCAATACAGAAGAGATGGGAAGAGAGCAAAGTGGAGGACATGAGGTTTTATCCTGAAATCAATAGGAACAGATATAAGTGATGGCAACATCTGCACCCAAAGGAGTGCTTCAAATGTGTTGGAAGGAAAGGGGGATGTCAGATGAGTCCCAAACTATCACTAAGATGATCTGATAACAGGTTTTGAGCTCATGGAAGGCACAAAGTTCTATGGCTGAGCACGGACAGGTCGGAGCTGGAGTTGTGGCACCTTCCTGCGTGAGCCAGGAGGGAGCGAGGAACAAGGTATGTCTGGGAGAAGTTCTCCCAGCCCGGTGAGCCCTGATGGGTTGGGACAAACACTGATTGCCCCCTCATTTTCCTGTAGATGCAGAGAATCACGCTGCCTCCTCATCCTCACTCCTTCCAAAGGAGGAGAAGCGCCTTATCTGATTGGTGGGATTGTAGAAGAAGGTGGGCTCTACCTCCTGTCATTAGGCCGACCTATGTCCGACAACCTAGCCACCTGCCGTTCTCCCCGATCCGTGCCTTGCGTTTCCTGGAAGCAGCTCTGCCTGGCAGATGGAAGACAAAGTAGGTGACCAATATTCCATTCTGAGGAGACAAACTGGGGACCCCTAGATCTAAGCTTCTTTCTTTAGGTCCCCCAAATTTTCCATTTCCACAATGACGGAGACCTGCCATTGGGGAGATCTGCCTTGGTGGAGGTCAGTGGGTGCATCATTTAATTCTGGGGGAACACATTTGAAAGCCCAAATTGGACTCACATCTAAGCAGGATCCTTAAATCAGTCTTACTAATAAACTTAAAACGTTCATCTCTTTCTGCCTCAATCCACACAGTCTACTCTTCGACTGGAATTTAAACATGGAAGTGGAAAAGGAAAACAGGTACCTTCACGCTCCAAGTTTATTGTACAAAACTCCTTAGGACAGGGAAAGAAAGAGGTGTGGCTGTCACCCAACTTCCCTCTTTACATGGAAGTCAGATTGTCACTAGAGGGTGAGATTACCTCCCCCGACCACAGCTCTGATACAAAAAGAAAGAGGGCCTTATTCAATGTTTATGGAGATGCTATTCCAAGAAATGTACAAACCTAACAATCCCCACCCTTAACCGGCGGATAGGCTAATGGGAGGAGCACACAGAGATCATTCTAATGCACTCAGGTGTCCGGGACGCACACCCGGGGCTGTTCTGAAGGACAGATAGGCAGGACCTGGCCAGAGGAATGACTGAGACCTCAAAAGCAAATGCAACATAAACAAACATTGAAAACTGGGACTTAATTAAACTAAAGAGGTCTGCACAGCAAAAGAAGCTATCAACAGCATAAAAGAGGCAGCCAACAGGATGGGAGAAAATTTTTGCAAACTATGCATCTGACAAAGGACTAATATCCAGAATATATAAGGGACTTAAGTCAACAAAAACAAACAGTCCTATTAAAAAGTGAGCAAAGGACATGAAAGACACCTCTCCAAAGAAGACATACAAGTGGCCAACAAACATACTAAAAACGGCTCATCATTGCTAATCATCAGGGAAATGCAAATGAAAGCTACAATGAAATACCATCTCGCATCAGTCCAAAGGCTATTATTAAAAAGTCAGAAAATAGGCCGGGCGCGGTGGCTCAAGCCTGTAATCCCAGCACTTTGGGAGGCCGGAGATCAAGACCATCCTGGCTAACACGGTGAAACCCCGTCTCTACTAAAAAATACAAAAAACTAGCTGGGCGAGGTGGCGGGCGCCTGTAGTCCCAGCTACTGAGGAGGCTGAGGCAGAATTGCTTGAACCTGAGAGGCGGAGCTTGCAGTGAGCCAAGATCACGCCACTGCACTCCAGCGTAGGCGACAGAGTGAGACTTTGTCTGAAAAAAAAAAAAAATCCATAAATGGAAACCAGAGGGCCAGGTGTGGAATGCTGAGACCCAATAATGTTTGAGCATCCAGAGAGGGAAAGGAAGATTTCAAGCAGACCAAAAAAAACTTATAGGAGATATACTTCTAGGTGGTGCATACATACAATGGAATATTATTCACCCTTAAAAAGGAAGGAAATTCTAATGTGTGCTGCAACACGGGTGAACCTTGAAAATACGGTGCTTAGTGAAATAAGTCAAACACAGAAGGAGAAACACTATGATTCCTGCTACCTGAGGCACCTACAGTCGTCAAATTCATAGTGACAGACAGTAGAGCGGTGGTTTTCCAGAGACTGAGGAAGACGAAGGGGAGGGATGCTGTGTGATAGGTACACAGTTGCCATTTTGCAAGATGAAAGCTCTGGAGTTGGACGGTGGCAATGGGTATAACAAGGTGAATGTAACAATTCCACTGAACTGCACACTTTAAAGTGGTTATAATGTAATTTTGGCGCCGGGCGGTAGCTCACACCTGTAATCCCAGCACTTTGGGAGGCTGAGGCGGGTGGATCATGAGGTCAGGAGATCGAGACCATGCTGGCTAACACGGTGAAACTCCATCTCTACTACAAATACAAAAAATTAGCCGGGTGTGGTGGCGGGCACCTGTAGTCCCAGCTACTCGGGAGGCTGAGGCAGGAGAATCACTTGAACCCGGGAAGTGGAGGTTGCAGTGAACTGAGATTGCGCCACTGCACTCCAGGCTGGATGACAGAGTGAGACTCCATCTCAAAAAAAAAAAAAAAAAAAAAGGAATTTTTATATTTGTGTATTTTATCAAAAAGAAAATAAAGAATTTCCTATAGAACAAAGAGATGTTGGGATAGGCATGGAAGAGGCAGGGCAAGGGCTAAATGGAGAGCCCTGTGAAAGAGGTAAAGGTCACACCAGATGCCAGAGACAGCTGTACCAGCAGGGCTGGGACTGGGATTGTGGGGTGTGTTGGGGATGGGGATGGGGTGAACAAGGGCCAGACTGTAGTGAGATGTCCAGTGAATGGAAGGTGTGGGCCAGGAGAGGTGTGACCTCAAGAGGACATCCTTTAAGATGGTCAGTTTGCTGGACAACTCTACTCAATTCTAGTGCTTCTCCTATGGTAAAAGACTAGTTTGATGGTTTGTTTCCAAACCACTGCAGACCAATACTTTTATAAAAAGAAATAACGGGCCGGGTGCGGTGGCTCACACCTGTAATCCCACCACTTTGGGAGGCAGAGGCAGGTGGGTCACTTGAGGTCAGGAGTTCGAGACCTGCCTGACCAACGTGGTGAAACCCTGTCTCTACGAAAAATAAAAAAAATTAACCGGGCGCGGTGGCACGTGCCTATACTCCCAGCTATTTGGGAGGCTGAGGCAGGAAAATTGCTTGAACCCAGAAGGCGGAGGCTGCAGGGAGCCAAGATTGCGCCACTGCACTCAAGCCTGGAAGACAAAGGGAGACTCCATCTCGAAAATAAATAAATAAATAAATAAATAAAAGTAATGGGGGGGGTGAAGAAAGACATACAAAATATAAGTTCCATTTTTAAAAGAAATTATCTTATCCACCATATTATAGATGACTCTGTCATATTGCTTTAACATTCCTAAGTGCTTCCTCTCAAGTTCTTGTCACGGGCTGGTGACAGGCAGTTCACAGGCTGGCAGTCTACAGAACCACTTTGGGTGGCACAGTTCTTATCTCCAAGACTGAGTGTGGGAAGGGGGTTCCTCTTCCTGGGGCTCCCTCTCCCTGGGAGACCCAAGCAGGCCCTTGGTGATCCTTCTCCTGCCTCCCTAACTCTGTAAAGCAAAAGCGTGCGTCAGCCAAGGAGGATGTGGATGGGGTGTAGGTCACAGAACCTTCTGGCTCACCCGCTACCCTGGTTCCTGGTCTCTTTAGAAGGGGAGAGGCCCATCTCAGTCAGGCTGAATTTGGCTGACGGAGTCAGGAAATCAGAGGACCTTACTGAGAACCGGGGGTCTATGGAAAAATAAAGAGAAGTGCCAGACGATTCATTTATAGAGCAGAACTGCCCATAGATGCTGCAATGTCCTGGGGATAGTTTTGCAAGGCCACACGCACCGGCAGGCTATCAAGGTAGCAACCAGAGACACAGCCACACTGGCTTTAAGCCTCAGGCACAGTCCACAATCTCTTACAGTTTAGGACCAATGAATCAGCTGTAGAATCTTCACGTACCCTAGGGAGATATTCCTGTTGAATTCAGGAGCACGGCCGGATTGAACGAATTCGGTGTTCTGTTTTTTTTGGTTTTGGTTTTGGTTTTTTGAGATTGAGTCTTGCTCTGTCACCCAGGCTGGAGTGCAGTGGCGCGATCTCAGCTCACTGCAACCTCCACCTCCCTGGTTCAGGCAATTCCCCTGCCTCAGCCTCCTGAGTAGCTAGGATTATAGGTGCGTGCTACCATGTCCGGCTAATTTTTTTGTATTTTTAGTAGAGATGGGATTTCACCAAGGGGGCCAGACTGGTCTCCAAATTCTGATCCCAGGCAATCCACCCGCCTCAGCCTCCGAAAGTGCTGGGATGACAGGCGTGAACTACCATGCCCGGCCGAATTTGGGTTTTAGTTAGATCAATCTGGGTTCAAATTTGGACTTGCCTATTAACGAGCTATTTAAGTGTGATCAAGTTAACTAGCCTCTGAGAACACTGGTGTCCTCCGCATCTTTGAAGTGGACATAGTAGTGCCTCTTTAGACATAAGAGTTCAGAGCACAGAATATGCCCAGTGATCTAACATAGCGGCTGGTACTGGAGAGGTGAGGGATCAAGAATAGCAAACACTACGAGCAATCTCATTGACACATACCCTCGAAGGACTCTAGTATAATAAGATAGGGTTCACTAACTTACTGAACCTGGACCTTCCCCCTTACCTGTCAACTGCCCAGTGACACAGGGGCCGACTGTCCTTCGGAGACAAATAGCTGCAGGCCACAGAAAGTCCCACAACGCGAATGGAGAACAGAGACCCCAGGTTCTGCCAAGATAAAAACAGATGTAAGTCATTATGTAGCCCCTATATTGATTTAAATTAGACTCTAAAGTGGCGCATACATTAAAAAATATAATCATTATTTTCCATAGTGTATTTTGAATATTCCCACAATAATTAGAATTCAAAATTAAGAGACAAAAACCTCATTTTTTTTAAAGATTCATACTATACCTTGTAACGCAGTGATCTAATACTGTGTTTAATATGTTAAACCTTCCCCCCAAAAATGAACACAGTGTGTTTAAATAGCAAATGCTTAACTGGGGCAGATACTGGTACATTTAATGGAACATAAATCAATCATGTTAATTAATTTTTAATAGGTAACTTAACCTACTTTATGAAGATGATTATCATCCCCACAACGAGGCAATTTTCTAAAAGCCAGTTTATGTATATTTTACAGGCAAAGTAAATATTTACACATTTTTAAATAAGCCACATAAAGAGATAGCACCTTAGTTATTATTCTAAGATATGTGTTTATTATATTCGAACTTTTCTGAAATTGAAATGAGGCTTACAATGACATATTTAATGGAAGATGCTTCTTAACAATTCAATGCAATGAACAACTCAATTTAAAAAATGGGCAAACATTTGAGTAGCTACTTCTCCAAAGAGGTGCAGACGGCCAAGAAGCCCATGCAAAGATCAGCAACATCATTAGTCATTAGAGAAATGCAAATCAAGACCACGTTGAGGCACCACTTCGCACCCACTGGGATGGCTATAATTAATTTTTTTTTTTGAGACATTGAAGTCTCACTCTGTCGCCCAGGCTGGAGTGCAGTGGCGCAATCTTGGCTCACTACAACCTCTGCCTCCCGAGTTCAAGTGATTCTCCTCCCTCGGCCTCCTGAGCAGCTGGAATTACAGGTGCCTGCCACCACGCCTGGCTAATTTTTGTATTTTTAGTAGAGATGGGATTTCATCATGTTGGCCAGGCTGCTCTCAACAACTGACCTCAGGTGATCCGTCCACCTCGGCCTCCCAAAGTGCTGGGATTGCAGGTGTGAGCCACCGCGCCCAGACTACAACTAAATGTTTTTGGTGGTGGTGGTGGTCGTCGTGGTTTTTTTTTTCTGAGACGGAGTCTCGCTATGTGGCCCAGGCTGGAGTGCAGTGGCGCAATCTCGGCTCACTGCAAGCTCCGCCTCCCGGGTTCACGCCATTCTCCTGCCTCAGCCTCCTGAGTAGCTGGGACTACAGGCACCCACTACCACACCCAGCTAATTTTTTTTTTTTTGTATTTTTCGTAGAGACGCGGTTTCACCATATTAGCCAGGATGGTCTTGATCTCCTGACCTCACCCACCTCAGCCTCCCAAAGGGCTGGGATGACAGGCGTGAGCCACCGCACCTGGCCTTTTTTTTTTTTTTTTTAAATGGAAAATAACAAGCATTGGCAAGAATTTGGAGAAACTGGAACCCTTATGTATTGCTGGTGGGAATGTAAAATGGATGGTACCGCTGCTATAGAAAACAGTTCAGCAGTTTCTCAAAAGGTTAAATGTTCAACTACCATGTAACCTTCAATTCTCTCAGGTGTATATCTAAGAGCCGCAAGGAGGGGCTTGAACAGATATTTATACACCAATGTTCACGGCAGCATGATTCACAAGTCAAAAGAAACAAATAACCCAAGTGTCCACCAGCGATGGATAGATAAACAAAATGTGGGATATATACACAACAGAATATTATTTAGCCTTAAAAATGAAGGCAGCCCAGTGCGGTGGTTCACGCCTGTAATCCCAGCACTTTGGGCAACTGAGGCAGGTGGATCACCTGAGGTCAGGAGTTTGAGATCAGCCTGACCAACATGGAGAAACCCTGTCTCTACTAAAAGTACAAAAAAATTAGCCGGGTGTTGTGGCGTATGCCTGTAATCCCGGCTACTCGGGAGGCTGAGGCAGGAGAATCACTTGAATCTGGGAGGTGGAGGTTGCAGTGAGCTGAAATCATGCCATTGCACTCCAGCCTGGGCAACAAGAGTGAAACGCCATCTCAAAAAAAGAAAAAAAAAAAAAAATGAAGGAAATTCTGAGATATGCTACAGCATGGATGACCCTTGAAAATATGACATTTAGTGAAATAAGTCAGATGTAAAAAGATAAATATTATATTATTCTAGTTATATAAGGTACCTAAAACAGGAAAATTCATACAGATGGAAAGTAGAATGGTAGTTACAAGGAGCTAGGGAGAGGAGAAAATGGGGAACTGTTGTTTAATAGGTATAAAGTTTTGTTTGTTTGTTTTTGAGACAGTCTTGCTCTGTTGCCCAGGCTGGAGTACAGTGGTGCAATCTCGGCTCACTACAACCTCCACCTCCCTGGTTCAAGTGATTCTCCTGCCTCAGCCTCCCGAGTAGCTGGGATTACAGGTGCCAACCACCACACCTGGCTAATTTTTGTATTTTTAGTAGAGATGGGGTTTCACCGTGTTGGTCAGGCTGATCTCGAACTCCTGACCTCAGGTGATCCGTCTGCCTCGGCCTTCTAAAGTGCTCGGAGTACAGGCGCGAGCCACCACACCCGGCTGTTTTTGTTTTTTAATAGGTATAAAGTTTTTGTTTTGATCGGTATAATGTTTAATAAAGTTTTTGTTGATGATGAAAAAATCGGGGGTATACATAGTAGTGATGGCGATACAACATTGTAAATGTAATTAATATACACTTATGAGTGGTTAAAACAAATAAAAGTATATATCTTTTACCAAAATTTTTAAAAAACATCAACGGGGTCTTCCTTCAAATAAAAGAAATAGATGCTTAAATTTGTCACTGATGATCTTGACAACCAGAAATAAAATAAAACTTTCTTCCAAACTCTGACAAAGGTACAAGGTTGATGCATTTTCTTAAAAACCGTGGAGGAAAGACAGGTTGAATTAGAGGAAAACAAGAGAAAAGCGTCGTAATTCCAGGAAAAAGGAACGACACATGGCAGGACAGAAGGACCCGAAACAGACACAGAGAGCTGTGAGCCGACCCCTTTGGCTGTGGGAGCTGAGGTGTGCAGGGAGCATCGGCCCCAAGGCTGGTGGGTAAACTGGAACTGGGCTGCAGGAGTCTTGAGTGTGAAGGGCAGGGAGCTCGTACGTCTAGCCAAACTCTAACCACGTTCTAGTTCATCTACGGCTTCAACAAAGAGGAAATCAACATCTGGAAGTAAGATGACTTCAGGGGCTTTGATTGAGGGTTGGCCGCGGAAAGGTGTTCTCCCTAAGGAGAATGTTAACTTAAATCTGGTGGAGAAAACTCTTTTTCCTCCGCCCCTAATGAAGCCTTGCTGTTTGGATAGCAAAGGCTAGCCATCGTCACAGCACCGACATCTGCAGAGAGGCAGCCTACTCTGCCTACACACAAATAGTGCTGGCCTCACACACCCCCGTTTATAAAATACCATAAAAATGTTTGGGTAGCCAGGCATGGTGGCTCATGCCTGTAATCCCAGCACTTTGGGAGGCCAATGTGAGAGGACTTCTTGAGGCCAGGAGTTCGAGACCAACCTGGGCAATACAGTGAGACCCCATCTCTGCAAAAAATTTAAAATAATTAACCAGGCATGATGGCAGGTGCTTGTAGTCCCACCTACTTGGAAGGATGTGGTGGGAGGATCACTTGAGCCCAGGAGTTCAAGGCTGCAGTGAGCTACGATCACACCACCACACTCCAGCCTGGCCAACAGAGTGGGACTCTATCTCTTTAAAAAAAAAAAAAAAAATTGGCAATGACAGCTCTTATTTTTTTCATAACACATGCAAATTAATCCTATCCAGTAAATTGGTCATGTTTGTAAGAAACTTTCCCGTTCTCTATTCTTGGCTAGTGAGGCTTATATCCAAAGCTTCAGTACACATATGTTTAATCTCTTCAGTTCAATGTTGAGACTCCTGAACATATTGTCTTCAAATGACTATATTCGAACCAGTATTTAATACAGTATTAAAAGAATTATGGGTTAAACGGGTGGGCTAGGCTGGAAGCCTCGCAACCCTCTAGAACACATTACTCCTACAGAAAATCATGTCTGACCATACATTTACCTGTGAAACTGTGGAAAAGCATCTGCAGCTAAGTCAAAGCTTGCCTGTATTAGGATTTTGCTGGCCTCACTGATTGCTTGATCCACTTCTGAAATTGAAATTGGGCCGGGCACAGTGGCTCATACCTGTAATCCCAAAACTTTGGGAAGCTTAGGTGGATGGATCAACTGAGCCCAGGAGTTCAAGACCACCCTGGGCAAAATGGTGAAATGTCTCTAACAAAAAAAAAAAAAATTAGCTGGGTGCAGTGCCACACACCTGTAGTCTCAGCTACTCAGGATGCAGAGATGGGAGGATCACTTGAGCCTGGGAGGTCAAAGATGCAGTGAGCCATTACCACACCACTGCACTCCAGCCTGGGTGTCAGAGTGATACCCTGTCCCAAAAATAAAACAAAGCTGAAATGACTGCAAAGGTATGGAGGCAAAAGTACAGGTGTGGCCGGGCACGGTGGCTCACACCTGTAATCCCAGCACTTTGGGAGGCTGAGGAGGGAGGATCACGAGGTCAAGAGATTGAGACCATCCTGGCCAACATGGTAAAATCCCATCTCTACTAAACATACAAAAATTAGCTGGGCGTGGTGGCGCTCACCTGTAGTCCTAGCTACTTGGGAGGCTGAGGCAGGATAATCACTTGAACCTGGGAGGCAGAGGTTGCAGTGAGCCAAGATCACGCCACTGCACTCCAGCCTGGTGACGGAGTGAGACTCCAGCTCCAAAAAAAAAGAAAAAAAAAGTACAGGTGTGTGAGCAGGTAAGAGTAAGGACAGCTGAGTTAAATGCTCACATGAAAATGGTTTCATGTATTGCAATAATCAGTAGCTTAAGGTTTGGGAGAAGGCAAAACTCTCGCTGGATAGACTGACCTACTTGCAGAGGAGTTTCTAATTTGGGCCCTTTGGTGGATCTGCTCTACAATACATTGAACAAAATCCTTCAGAGATAAAAGTTGGGACAAATGTAGTGAAGGTTTTTAACAAAGTGTTATTTGGTATAAATCCTAAATCAAACATATGGTTTTTGCTGAGCAGGAAGGAGCATGAATTGTGAGGAATTATCTCTGAGATAAGATCTGTGTGTGCTCCAAATAAAAAGCTTTTACTATGGGAATAGTTAGGGGAAAACAGGAATCTGACGCAACTGACCTGTCCCTAAAAATTTCAACATCTTCAAGCAACCATCAGAATAGTTTCTCTTATTATAGGAGCTAAAAAAAAAACAATCAATGGTTCTTAAACATGCTGTTTTTGTTTGGAAACTATCAATCTGAGAATAAATAAACAAGGCAAATATTGTTTTCCTTTGAGTTATCTTAGTTTTTAAAAAATCTGGACAAAATTATTTTAACATCTAGATTTTCATATTTGGACATAATCATTTTAATTTTCCACAGAAATTCTATCTCAAGTCCCTTGAAATTGTTGATTTAAACATATAGTTGCAATTTATTACAATATGCTGTCTTCTAGGAAAAACTATGGTAAGCCATAAACATACAAAATTGGGAATAATAATGTAAACGCTTAGCGAGTGATGGAAAATGTGAAAAAAAAACTTTTGTAATGTAAATGCCATTTTCCCAATGGTGTTTTGAAAGATTTAATAAGAAAAAGCTCTGTCCATGAAAGGTATTTTATAATGGCACAAAAGTAAAACACCACAGACTATAAGATGGTTACTTCTACTTGCACACAGATCTAAGTCATTTTATAAAACAGTATGAGCACTCTTTAACAGCAAATTCTCCTCTCCTGAGCTACCCTAAATTCCAACCCTCCCAATACACACACCCACACACACACACACGCACGCACACACACACACACACACCACTGACCTGTACAGGGGCCTCACTCTTCATAAGATGGCGGACCTTGCTGAGGATAGACTGCTGGAGCTGGGCCCAGGAAACAGCTCTATCTTCCCTTATCAGGAAGGGTGGCCCAAACCTGAAAATCCAAGGAAATCAGGTTATCCCAGCAAAGGAAAAACCAGCAACATCCACCAGTCATGAGTGGTTGTTCTACCCCTGGCTTCCTCTCAATAGGATAAGTGACGAGTTAACAGCCAAGCACAAAAACTCAACAGCGAAAAAACAAAGAACCCCATTTGAAAATGGGCAAAGGATCTGAATAGACGTTTCTCAGAAAGATACATGTAGCCAACAGGCATATGAAAAAATGCTCAGCGTTACTAATTATCAGGGAAATGCAAGTCAAAACCCCAGTGAGATATCATCTTACCCCAGTTAGGATGGCTATCATCAAAAAGACAAGAAATAACAAATGCTGGTGAGGATATAGAGAAAAGGGAACTCTTATACACTCTCGGTGGGAAAGGAGACACCGTGGAGAACAGCATGGATGTTCTTCAAAAAACTAAAACTAGAACCGCCATATGACCCAGCCATTCCACTACTGGGTATTTATCCAAAGGAAAGATTATGCCCTCCTGTGTTTATTGCAGGGCTATTCACAATAGCCAAGATTCTAAATCAACCTAAGTATACATCAGTGGATGAATGGAAAAGAAATGAACAAGGAAATGTAATCTATATACATAATGGAATACTATGCACCCATGAAAAAGGAATGAAATCCTGTTGTTTGTGGCAAGATGGATGAGGCTGGAGGACATTATGTTAAGTGAAATAAGTTAGGCACAGAAAGATAAATACTGCTTGTACTCACGCGTGTGGAATCTAAAAAAATTAATGTCATAGAAGTAGAGTAGAATAGTAGTTCTACTAGAGGCTGGGAGGGGCTGGTGGGAGCTAGGAAAAGGTTAGGTAATGAATAAAAATTATAGCTAGATAGGAGAAATAAGCTCTAGTGTTCTACAGCAGTACAGAGTGACTGTTGTTCACAATAATTTATTGTATGTTTTCAACAGCTAGAGCATAGGATTTTGAATCTTCCCAACATGAAATGATAAATGTTTGAGGTGACAGTTATGCCAATAACCCTGATTTGATCATTACACACTATATATATGTATCAAAATATCACTCTGTACCCCATAAATATGTATAATTATGTGTCAATTAAAAATAATGTAAATGGTTTTTAAAGCTAAACACAATCCAAAATTGCCAATCAGAGAACCTTGTAACAAATGGAGACATTGCAGTGTAAACAGAGGCCCAGTGATACAAAGCCAGATAGATACTGCTATGTAAACAGATTACTCCAAATGACCAGCTAGCTGGCAAAGTCTCTTCCCCACAGCAGGGAGTACAGTAAGAGAACCTTGGAGCCAGGGGAAGGCAAGGCAGAGACATAAATCCAGATGCCACAACCGTTGGTTTGGGGTATCAGGAACATTCTCATCACTGGGGATGGTATCCATGTCCCAACACAGTAAGCGCACAGCAGTGAGCTCACGGTGTACGGGATGCTGGGTGAGGCTGCACCTGCGGGCCCTAACTCTGCTGTGGGTACTCCTGGACGAATCACTAGCCACTCACTGCTTCCTGGCCTCGCTGAAGCCTATGTGAAGACCCAGTGAGGTAAGAATGTGACACTGTTCAATAAAATTGGCTAAAGCAGAGCACAAGTATGAGGCGATCTGTCTGGACAGGCAAGGGCACTGTGCGTCCATTGTTGTGTGGACAGATCAGCTGACTTAATCCATCCTGTACTGTGCCGCGTTCCAAGTTTTTATTTAAACAATGCTTGCTTATCGCAGGAACTAGCTATAACCTTGAACATAACCTTTGAGTGCACAATTATTCCCTTAGGGTAAAGTTCCAGAAGTAGAAAGGCAAGACTAAAGCTCTTTCTTCCCAAATTGTCCTCTGAAAAAGCCATACCAATTTACCTGATTTCCCAGACCCCGGCCCAGAATGAGCATTATCAATTTCTAAAAATTATTTAACAATCTAAAAGGTTAAGAATAGTATCTTGCTATTGCAACCAGAATTTCTTCTACTACGAATGATGCTGAATTTTCTTTTTTTTTTTTTTTTTTTGAGACGGAGTTTTGCTCTTGTCGCCCAGGCTGGAGTGCAGTGGCGCAATCTCAGCTCACCACAACATCTGCCTCCTGGGTTTAAGCCATTCTCCTGTCTCAGCCTCCCGAGTAGCTGGGATTACAGGAGTGCACCACCACACCTGGCTAATTTTATATTTTTAGTAGAGACAGGGTTTCTCCATTTGTCAGGCTGGTCTCCAACTCCCAACCTCAGTCCCGGCCTTCCAAAGTGCTGGGATTACAGGCGTGAGCCATTGTGCCAGGCTGATGCTGAATATTTTAACCTATGCTTGTATTTCTTCTGTGAACTAATGTCAATCTCTGTGGTTCATTTCACCAAGGATATTTATCTCCTTAATTTTCGAGAGCTGGGATTTATAGGATGGACATAAATCCTTCGCCTCTCACATGACATAAATATATTTCCTTGTTTGCCCTTTGCCTTTCAAATTTGCTTTTAAATTTTTAAATATATTTGAAACATCAGCCTTTTCCTTTACAGCCTCCTGACTTTCATGTTAAACTAGCCCCCACCCAAGGACATAAATATTCTCCCATGTTGTCTTTGTTTTTTTAATTTATTTTTTATTTATTAATTTTTTTTTTTTTTTTTTTTTGAGACAGAGTATCGCTCTGTTGCCCAGGCTGGAGTGCAGTGGTGCGATCGCAGCCGACTGCAACATCTGCCTCCTGGGTTCAAGCGATTCTCCTGCCACAGCCTCCCAAGTAGCTGGAACTACAGGTGCACGCCACCACCCCCGGCTAATTTTTTGTATTTTTAGTAGAGACAGAGTTTCACTGTGTTAGCCAGGCTGGTCTCGAACTCTTGACCTCGTGATCCACCCACCTCGGCCGTCTTTAAGTTATATTATGGCTTCCTTTTCTAGAGTTACCTCTCTAGTCAACCTGAAATTTATACGTGTGAATCCACAGCAGGAGTTAAAAGTTGACTATTTAAAATAAAAAGAAACAAAGAAATCAATTAGCCCAATTAGCCCAGCCTTACCTTTGAATAATTCATTGACTGTCTAGTAATATGAAATAGACCATAATTCTGAAATTATTAAAATATTGTAATACAGGCAGAAGAATATACAATTAAATCAGTCAAACAGAATAGGCCACCTGTCTATAAGTATTTATTGTATGATAAAAATGATATATTTCATATTACTAGAGAGTTGATGAATTAATAAGTAAGGCTGGGCTAATTGATTTTTACAAACTGAGCTAATTAATAATATTTTAATTATTAGAATAATCTATCATTTTGTTTTTACCAGTTTCTTATTCAAGCTACATTTTAGAAACATTTTATCCCTCTAAATATATCTTAATGTAATTCTGTCTTTTAAACACTTTACTGGGGCTATATAAGAAAGCTATCTGTTTTTGTATATTTGTTATATAACCCATCAATTTCCTGAACCCTTTCCTCACTGCCAATCACTTTCCAGTTCTTGGTTTTCTAGACAGACAACCAAAGTATCACCTCTTTTCTTATAGCCAGTTTCTTTTAGCACTGCACCGCCTAGGTATTACAATATAGAACAATAGTGGTGAGGGCAGTGAAAACTGTTCCTCTGATTAATAGGAAGGCCTCTGATGTTTGATGGTTAGGAATGACAATGTTAGCCAAACGCTTAAGGCAGATATTTCTAATCCTCTTAGTCAGAAAGGACCCTACTTCTGGCTCCTACTTGATTAACCTTGGGAATAAATATTTAATTTTACTCTAGACAGGCTCGCAAGCACAGGTCTACAAATCCCAGACACCACATGAAAAAAGAATAAAGTGAAACATACCTGCTAGCCTGCTGCCCTGACCCCACCAAGTTACAGAAGAGGATTAGCACCTTGCTCTCACTGTGGAGAGAGAGGGAGAATCGCTGGCCCTCACGGGCTGCCAGGCGTGGGGAGACCGACAGACCCAGTGGATGAGCTGGAGGAGAGAGAATGACATTCGTTCATATTCCTAAAGGAGCTGCTTTCCTGGGTCAGAGCCTTAGCTTCTCTAGTCCCTCTTTCTCTTTGAGCACCTATTAACCACCAACGGGGGGCCACTAGAGGGTTTTAGGGGAGGAGATAATGAGGTTCATGGCATTTGTGCCATCTGACACCTGGCATACGAACATCAAGAATATGGTGGTGAATTTGCAATTGTGTTCACCCAATAGTTTTTTGTTTGTTTGTTTGAGACAGAGTCTCGCTCTGTCCCCCAGGCTGGAGTGCAGTGGTGCAATCTCGGCTCACTGCAAACTCTGCCTTCCAGGTTCAAGTGATTCTCCTGTCTCAGCCTCTCCAGTAGCTGGGATTGTGGATGTGCACCACCATGCCCAGCTAATTTTTTTGTATTTTTAGTAGAGATGGGGTTTCACCATGTTGGCCAGGCTGGCCTTCAACTCCTGACCTCAAGTGATCCTCCTGCCTTGGCCTCCCAAAGTGTTGGGATTTCAGGCGTGAGCCACTGTGCCCAGCCATCACCCTATAGTTTTAAAACAGGAACAAGAATTTAACTAATATTTTTCAAGGCACCTGAAAAATACTCCAAAATAATTTTGGTTGCTTTTATGACTTCATTACAGAGCCCCAGGGTATCCACTCTTTTAGAAAGCCAATAGAAGAAGTATACAGAGATGGGTGAGAATCTCTACCAATGAGGAAGTAGAGGAATTGGACTATCCTCCATTTGCATCTCAGTTCTGAACTGTTGACTTTAAAGGAAAAGATGTGTCCACCATGATTGAATTTGACAGGAGAACTTGTTTCACTGGGTTGTAACATAGTCAGTGTCAGTTAATGTCTTGTTCTAGATTCCTATGCCCAGCATCTCCCTGTCGACTCAGAGAACTGCGAACATCCAGTTCCTATAGCCTGCTACCTAGGCCGGCTAAAACATGGAGCCAGGGCATAGGAATCATCTGGGGTATAATGTCACACTGGCATAGGGTCCTTTAAATATGGGCCTTCAGGCTGGGCGCGGTGGCTCATGCCTGTAATCCCAGCACTTTCGGAGGCCGAGGCAGGTGCATCACCTGAGGTTAGGAGTTTGAGACCAGCCTGGCCAACATGGTGAAACTCCATCTCTACTAAAAATACAAAAATTAGCTGAGCGTGGTGGCAGGCACCTGTAGTCCCAGCTACTTGGGAGGCTGAGGCAGGAGAATCACTTGAATCCGGGAGGCAGAGGTTACAATGAGCTGAGATCGTGCCACTGTACTACAGCCTGGGTGACAGAGCGAGAAACCATCTCAAATATACATATATATGTCTCAAATATATATATATTTATATATGGGTCTTCTTCACTAGCAACTTGGCCAACATGTATCCTGACCTACAAATAAAAAGGACTGTTAGAAATTGACCATGTTAGCCAGTCTATGGTATAGGAAAAACAAGCATTAAGAAGTGGAACTATTTTGTTAAAAAGTCATTTAATAAACTCTTTAACCATGTACTGCTCAAATTTGTAGACATTTTACTTCACACACAAACCTTGACCCATAGGAATCCTGACGGCAAAGATGACTCCAGCATTTATACCAAATGGTGGTTCTCAAAGTGTGGTTCCTGGACCAGCAGCATCAGCATCACCTGGGAACTTGGTTAGATGTGCAAACTCTTAGGCCCCACCCCAGGCCACCCAAATCAAAAAGTCTGTGGGGCAGGGTCCAGAAATCTGCTTTTGCATACCCTCCAGGTGATTCTGATATTCACTAAGGTTTTGAGAATCCCTGTATTAGCTGAATAATTTTTAATAGCAACCATCTGCACACAACAAATGCCAGGGATAATAAGTCTGACTGTTCCAAGTGCTAAAACTGGATGTTTTATGCCTTTGCACCTAAAGAGTATCCTCTGAAACCTGTAACTCATCATAGCCAAATAAAATTGTGTAAAGCACCTGTTATACCTGAGAGAGTCCCCTGGCTGGGTGAGGGAGGAACTTGAAAGGCATACACATTATCTCCCTCTGCAATAGTATTCAGGTCCTCTTCATCGAAGAAAGACCGCTGGAATCCACTGGGATACAGTTCAACTAAGATCACCTGAAATGAGAAAGATCATTTTCCCTCTTGATTTCTGAAAGAGAAATCAACAGGTAAGAAATCTAAAAGTGACTGATGGTCAACACCCATTTTCACCCTTTCCTTCCTTCTAATTGGCTACTTCTTTTCAGTAGTAAGGCATAGTAGATATAACAATCAGATTGTCCACAGACATCTCAAGTGTGACAAAAAAAAGAAACTGAAAAAAAAAAAAAAAAATCTAAGTTTTATACCCAGCTAAACAAGCACAGAAAAACGACAACAAAATAAAGCCCTCCTCATGTGAACAAATAGTGAGTGTTTACTACAGAGTGAAAGAATTTCTGAATAGGTTTACTAACCTTTTTTCACATGATTGCATACATAAAAAAATATTTTTACCAAACTTTGAAGTAAATAGGAGATGGTTTGGTAGCAGAGTAGAGGGGTGACTACTGTGGTGGCCCTGACTGCCCTACACCCAACTCTGCTACCCCGAAGGCTGAAGAAATCAATATCTCAGCACACATAACCTATTCAAGGTACACTGCCTGGGAAGTTCTCTTCAAAAAGATGCATTTCAGGGCTGAGCACAGTGGCTCATGCCTATAATCCCAACACTTTGGGAGGCTGAGGAGGGAGGGTCACTTGAGCCCAGGAGTTCAAGACCAGCCTGGGCAACATAGCAGGACCCCATCTCTACACAATTTTTATTTTTTAAATTAGCCAGGCATAGTGGCATGAGCCTGTAGTCCCAGCTACTCAGGAGGCTGAGGTGGGAGGATCCCTTGAGCCCAGGAGTTCAAGGCTACAGTAAGTTATGATCACACCCCTGCACTCCAGCCTGGGCAACAGAGGAAAATCCTGTCATTCATTCATTCATTTATTCATTCATTCATGAATAAATACATAGATTTCAGGATTTACAAACCTGAATCAAAGAGAAAACTTGAATTGTAGGAGAAATGATGAACCAAAGAAAATGGCAAATATTATCGACTATATAAAGCTAAAATAATAACTATTACTACTATTACAGTTGGAGGTAGAGACGGGATTAAAATACTGGACAATAATATCTAAATCAAAAAGGTATAAGGGGATTTAATGCCACGCCAAGATCCTTGTGTTACATGGGAAGATTAACATTAGACTAGTAATTACACAAGTTGACATTTTAATAACCACTGAAAGAATGGAAATATAATGTATATGTACTTCATCCCAGAAGAGATGAAAATAAAGAAAAATTGCTCAATCTAAAAGAATCATCTTCTAAAAGAAGAAGACCACTCAATCTAAAAATTGGGGGTGAGGGGGCAATACAAAATAGAAAAACAGGGTAAATAGCATAAGATGACATAAATAAATCCAAATACAGGCCGGGCACGGTGGCTCACACCTGTAATCCCAAGACTTTGGGAGGTTGAGGTGGGCAGACCACGAGGTCAAGAGATCGAGACCATCCTGGCCAATACGGTGAAACCCCATCTCTACTAAAAACACAAAAAATTAGCCGGGCATGGTGGCAGGCGCCTGTAGTTTCAGCTACTTGGGAGGCTGAGGCAGGAGAATCACTTGAACCTGGGAGGTGGAGGTTGCAGTGAGCTGAGATCGTGCCACTGCACTCCAGCCTGGTGACAGAGTGAGACTCCGTCAATAATAATAATAATAATAATAATGATAGAAAAATAAATCCAAATACATATATCTATGATTTTAGATTATATAAATGCAATACACTTGCCAGCTAAAGAGAACAAAACATCAAAATGACTTTAAGTTTCAGTGGAAATGCTCATCCCGCACTGAAATCCCCAAGTGATTCTCATCTCCCTGAACCAACACATCACGCCTCTCAAATTCCTGCTGGATTTTTCATGCTCTTAATTATTCAAACGCTCCCTCTCACAGACTCCTCCCTTTTGATCTTTTCTTACGACCACTTTCTCCCCAGGACTCTCACCCACTGTCCCCGTCTCTCTCCGTCTCTTTCAATAACTTCCCATAGTGCCCTTTAGAGTTTACAAAGCGAGATACACACATTTCCGCCGCTACCTGGGAGAGTCATAAATATTCTAGGAGGGGCGATAGAGGTCAGAGCGATTGATTGGGCAGGGTCAGAAAGGAGCCCACTGGGGTGATGGGGAGGCTGAGGAAGCATGGAGGTTATAGGAATATAGCTATGAATGTAGAGAAAGCCAGCACACCACAATCTTCAGGTAGGTAGACGTTATTGTATGCGTGGCATGTCTTCCCAACGAGGTTAAAAATAGTTTTTGATTTGAAAAAAATCCCATGAGATAGTCAGGGAAGTGTCAATTTTCCATTTCACAGTTAAGGACACAGAGCCAATCGCGTACTGCATCCAGGCTCAGAAACCTAGGGAGCTACTGAATCACCCCGAGGGCTGCTCCCATCCTGCCACGTGGCTTGGCGCCACCATGGCCTCTTCCCTATTCCTCATGAGGGCCCCTCCAGGCACCGTGAATCCAATCCCTTTACCAGGACTCATTTGAAAAGAAAACAAGCAGAACACAGCCATCCCAGCTTCCCCCAGATGTTCTCTCTCATGTCACACATCCTCAGTTCTCTCAGCAGGTCCTCCTGTTTCACTCACTGTTCCTTTAGTGTCCTGGTTTATATTCCCAAGACTGAAAATACACAGTGGTGACTTGGGCTATGAAGTCAAACCATCGAAATCCAAATCCTGGCTCAGCCACTTACTAGCTAGTGACGTTGGGCAAGTCACTTAACCTCTCAGGGCTTCTTTATTCCCCATTAGTAAGATGAGGATAATGGTAATGTCTACTGCACAGGACACCTGTGATTAAACCAGGCATGAATAGAAAGGTCACAGTACAGTGCCTCACACTTAGTAAGCACTACCTAGGGATAGCTATTGTTGGAATTATTATGATCATCATCGTCATCGCCTTCTTGGAAGGCAAAGGTGTTCTTTTCTGGCCATTCTGTGTCAATTCAGGGAGAAGTCAAGGCCCAGTCATCCCAGACGCCAGGCACTACTAATCAAACAGAAACCCATGAGTCATGCTGGAGTCACCTGGGAACCACAAATTGGCCTAAAGAGCCTAGACAGCTGGCTCACTTAGCATTCTGTCATCCAAGGACCAGGCCCCAGTGCAATTCTATCGCACCTCATCTGCAGGGACGCCTCCTTCCTCTGCAACCATCCTCCTCAGGACTGCCACTGTGCTGAGGATTGGCACGGCCAGGCCAACCCGCAGGAACCGCTGGCTCTTAGAGGGGAAGACCAAGGTGACACTCAAGAACCTGGAAAACAGGAAGGGGCAACACCCTTAAAAGACTGACAGGAACTGTGAACGACATTGTTGATGATGGATCAAGGCTGGGCACAGTGGCTCGCACCTGTAATCCTAGCACTTTGGGAGGCTGAGGCGGCTGGATCACCTGAGGTCCAGAGTTCGAGACTAGCCTAGCCAGCATGGTGAAACCCCGTCTCTACCAAAAGTACAAACAAATTAGCTGAGTGTGGTGGCAGGTGCCTGTAATCCCAGCTACTGGGGAGGCTGAGGCAGGAGAATCGCTTGAACCTGGGAGGCACGGGTTGCAGTGAGCAGAGATGGCACCACTGGACTCCAGCCTGGGTGACAGAGCGAGACTCCACCTCAAAAAAAAAAAAAAAAACAAAAGAAAGATAATGGATCAAGTTCAGCACGTAGTTAATCTCTACTTCCTGGTTGTGTCCCTGTACTTGGTACATTGTCACCAGGTGGCAGGGTAGAGCCAAATCTTCTAAGCTACTTTTCTAGCGAGTTGGGGGGAAAAAAGTATTTGATTAAGAATCACCATAGAGATGTCCAGTCTTAAGGCTCTAGTTGTTAAATAGATAAGCTTAAACAAAAACAAACTCCACAGTTTGAAAATTAAAGCCGTCAAGGTGTTTTTTCCAGTACAAATCAACACTACTGATGACATTCTCCTTAATGAGAGTCTCCTTTGGAAATCTTCGCTTCTCCTTCCCACCAGCATATGAAGGCCCAGTCTTGAAGCCACTGTTTCTCTTGATCTGTACTCCACTAACTGCCCAAGTCACACAGGTAACTAATTAATAGAGCTGGGATTTGAACCTGGGCCGTCTGGCTCCTGAGTCAATGGTCTTAACCCCTGTGCTGCGCTGTGTCAGGCTGGGAGTCTTAGATCATCACATCTATAAGTTGACATTATCTGATGGTGTCACTGATGATAGACAGCACAAGCCATGTTCTAGTATAAGCCAATAGTTATATTTCTAGTGCAGAATATCAGCAGCACAGGATTTTAGAGCAGAAAGGGAGATTGAGTTGCCGAGGAAGGCCTTCTGAAGATGTCATGTCTGCAGCTGCATCCTAAAGGCAGGAGATGTCAACAGGCACAGGGTAAGAGAAATGGCACTTCGGGAGGTGGGGAACATAAAGAGGAAATGCCTCTGTTCCGATGCCAGAAAAGACACCCCACATAGAAGCTTACCCACATGCCAGGACACGGTCATTGGCCTTTTGCCTTCCTGGTCACTGCAAAGGTTTGGGCTTACTTTTTTTTTTTCTTTTGAGGTGGAGTCTCGCTCTGTCGCCCAGGCTGGAGTGCAGTGGCCGGATCTCAGCTCACTGCAAGCTCCGCCTCCCGGGTTTACGCCATTCTCCTGCCTCAGCCTCCCGAGTAGCTGGGACTACAGGCGCCCGCCACCTCGCCCGGCTAATTTTGTGTATTTTTTAGTAGAGACGGGGTTTCACCGTGTTAGCCAGGATGGTCTCGATCTCCTGACCTCGTGATCTGCCCGTCTCGGCCTCCCAAAGTGCTGGGATTACAGGCTTGAGCCACCGCGCCCAGCCTGGGCTTACTTTTATAGAACTCGGCCCATGGTGCCTGTTACCCAGCCCTACCTCCACTTTTCTTTGTCACTCATCTTCCCCAAACAACCCTTTTCCTCTTTCTTTGCTCCTTAAAGATATCTTTTTCCTACACCTTCCCAGAGAAGAAAATAGATTTTTGAAATTGAAATAAAGCTGGGGGAAAAAAAAAAAAAAGCAGGTGGCCACAGATTTTCTCTAGTTTGCCTCCGTGTGACCAAGTGAGACTAAAGGGTCCGTGCCAGCTTCTGAATGGGCCACAGGCCTAAGTCTGGCAATTGTGCCAAACATTCATAATTCCTTCCTCAGCTAGAGAAGGGACACAGCAACCTTTTACTCTGCCAATTTCAATAGTTGAATGTCATCCAGCTATAGAGCTGGTTTCCAGAGAAATGCTGGCTGAGAAGCAAAGGAGAGAAAATGGCAGGTGTGAGGCCAGAAGGTTCCCCGTAATGAGTAAGGATGGAAGTCAAGTTCACTGGGCAAGCCACGACACTCACGTACCTCGTCTGGCGCAAGGGGATAGGTAGGGACACACACAGGAAAGGATCGAAGGTGTTGCTCTGTTTCAGGCAGTGGGGACAAGTCAAGGAAGATCTGTGAGGGTGAGGAACAGAGGCGAACGTTTAATCACACGTAAACAATTTGGCGGTAAAATTCAATACAGAATTATCCTTGCATTTCCACTCCCAGTGATTCCACTCCTAGGTATATACCCAGAAGAATTGAAAACAGGTGTTCAAATACTTGTATACAAGTGTTCATAGCTGCTCCATTCACAATAGTTAAGATGGGAACAATCCAGCTATCCATCAACAGACAAATGGGTAAACAGAATATAGTACATCCACATAGTGGAATACAACTCAGCCACAGAAAGGAATGAACCCCGGTCCATACTACAATGTGGATGAACCTTGAAAACAGTAAGTTAAATGAAAGCAGCCAGGCATGAAAGGGCACATATTGCATGATCCCGCTTATATGAAGGATCCAGAACAGGTAATGCCATAGACACAGAAAGCAAATTGGTGGCTGCCAGGAGCTGAGGGAAGGGAGGATGAGGCTGACTGCTGACTGGGTACCAGGTTTTATTTTGGGGTGATGAAATGTTTAGGAACTAGGAGGTGGTAGCCGCACAACACCGTGAATGTACATGTCCCTGAATTGTACGCTTTAGAGTGTTTAACTTCATGTTACAGGACTTTCACCTCCATTTTTTGTAAAAGGGAAAAGAAACTTTAGGACATATATAAATGCACTGAGTATGGGAAGGGAAGCTATAACCCGTCCCTGCCATACAAACCCCACATGCCAACTTCCAGGCTGAAGGGATCTCAGGGCCATCTCTTCCCCTGCTTCTCAGCCTCCCTGTGCCCCAGAACCACAGAAAGCTTTTTAAAAAAATTCCAATGTCCAGGCCCCACTCCCAGAGATTCTGTTTCAAGGTGGGTAGAGAGGGGTCCGGACATCAAAATCTTGCTAAAATCCTGAGAGCTTTTAAGCTCCCCAAATGACCCTAGTGTTCCGTAGTAGAGAACTACTGGCATTGCCCACCCTCCTTACTATACAGAAGAAGAAACAACAAGAAGTCGCTCCTTAAAGTAATAACTAACATTGCAATAGCGTTTACTAAGAATCGAGCATCATTCTGAGCCCTGAGCATAGATGAATCCATTTACAACCCATAGCAACTGATATTACGCCCATTTTACAGAAGAGAAATCTGAAGCACAGCGAGGTTAAGTAATCTACTGAAGAACACACAGCTCTTAAGGAAGAAAGCTAGGCTCGGTTTCCAGACTCCATGCTCATATCATTCCTGTGTTCTTTAGTAGAAATCAGTGAGGTGTCAATTGGTTCAGAGTAGATACACATAATGTTCATTTATATTCTTTCAACTCTTTTAAACTTAATACTCCCTTACCTTAAAATGGAGCTCTGAAAATGAAATGCAACATTTTTTTTTTTTTTTTTTTTTTTGAGATGGAGTCTCACATTGTCACCCAGGCTGGAGTGCAACGGCGTGATCTCAGCTCACTGCAACCTCTGCCTTTCGGGTTCAACCGATTCTCCCTACTCAGCCTCCTGAGTAGCTGGGATTACAGGTGCCCGCCACCACGCCCAGTTAATTTTTTGTATTTTTTTCAGTAGAGATGGGGTTTCGCTATGTTGACCAGGCTGGTCTTGAACTCCTGACCTTGTGATCCACCCCCCTCAGCCTCCCAAAGTGCTGGGATTATAGGCGTGAGCCACTGTGCCCAGATGAAATGCAACTTTTATATTCCACATGGACATACCAATTTTCTTTCTCTTATCATATGATGCGAGGGATTTCTCTGCATGCTACGTTACTAATCGTAAAAATCTACATTAACTTCTCTGGGGACACAGAACAAGACCGCCCTGGCAGTCTGACTCTGAAGTCCATACTCTTAGCTCTGTATGACATTACCGGGATAAGTCAGCAAGTAAAGCCAAAGCTGGTATCAGAACAGGTTTCCTGAGTCCTTGTGGAAAATGCCCGTCTTGTTTGATTGGTTTTCCACTGAGCAGACAAATAGGAAAATCCAGGGACAAACAGGAACATAAAGGGGAGGGTGCTGCCTGAGGCACTCTTGGGTGATCTGTCCATTACAAGTCAGTTATCTTGGATACAACTTATCAGACCATCAACCTGATTACAGAAAACAGGCCCCAGTACTGGACATTCCATCGCCCCTGCTGCCTCAGGTCATTTGCCTTTGGGAGACCCATGGTAGTTAGTGTCTTTGTTGAAAGCACTGTATCAGACAGTGAGTACCAGCCAGCCAGAAACCCAACATTTCTGGGGTCTCCTCTGCCACTGCATCTCTCCTCCAATCCTTCTCCACCTCTGTCCATCACGTACCTAGGCAAAAAATTGGCCTGAAGGAGATACTTGGGTCATTGGGAAATCCCCAAATTCCCATTTCACAAGTATGTAAACCAATGAGAGAGAATGTTTTTCATTGACGTCTTCGTGTTTTTCAGCCTGCTAAAACTATGCCGGGTTGCATTCTTCTTGAAGCATTGCAACATGTGAAACCAGTTCAGGAATATGACTTTTTACATTGAGCCACCAACTGCTATCTGCTAGCAAGCGATGAGTGGTTTGTAGAAAAACAAATCGAATGGGCAAATTTTATATTGAAAGGATGAAAATGGGCCGGGCGCGGTGGTTCATGCCTGGAATCCCAGCACTTTGGGAGGCCGAGGCGGGGGATCGCCTGAGGTCAGGAGCTTGAGACCAACCTGGTCAACATGGTGAAACCCCATCTCTACTAAAATTACAAAAATTAGCCAGATGTGGTGGCGGGTGCCTGTAATCCCAGCTACTTGGGAAGCTGAGGCAGGAGAATCGCTTGCACCCGGGAGGTGGAGGTTGCAGTTGCAGTGAGCTGAGATCGTGCCATTGCACTACAGCTTGGGCGACAAAAGCAAAACTCTGTCTCAAAAAAATGAAAATAAAATAAAATAAAGAATGAAAAAGTATAATGTTTTCATAAGAAACTATAGGAAAGATGTGAAATATATCCATGTATCAAAGGTTGAGAAATGAGGACAGACTGATGTGACCAACATCTGGAAGAAGATGGAGAGGCAGCTTCACTTTTACAAAAAGCTCTGGCCACGTTACCAGGCTACAGCAATATACCCCAATGTGGCCTGACGGATGCCTCCGTTCTCCCCATTCGCTCCAGGACATTCACAGTCCTGCCCTGTTGTCTCGCAAGCGCACTCACGGGGAACAGGAACAGAAAATCACCCCACTGCCTTTCAATGTTCACAGGCCCATTTCCCTAAGTTATTCATTCTCCTTGTCAAATTGCTTCTGTTACAAAGCTAACCCTGTCAGTGCTACTAAAACTCAGGGCTGCAGTTTGCTTTTCCACCTGCTACAAATGCCCACCAATGAGCCCTAGGCTTTGCCCCTGAATTTCTTGTCACTCTGCCCTTTAACTGCTGCCAAATACACACACATCTTTCACCTCAAACCCAGTCCACTTTACCTGCTCACTGGACAGTGGATCTGACGTCTACGCAAACAGCAATAATTATGCCAATACATAAGCAAGATCTCACCTTTCGAAGATCTGTTCTGAGGAAGCCTTCAAAAACATCCTTAGACTTTCTGTGGATAAAGGCTATGAAGGACATGAAGAACTTTTGCACACACACACACAGACACACTCCTCCAGCCAAAACTCCAACATAGCCACAATCGTTGGTTGTTAGACTTGCAGACATTCTTAGACTGTGATGATAATCACATAGAATAACTAAATATCTTTGCTATAGTCCAGGATCTTCCACACTCTAGTACTGGAGGTTCCTCTTCTCTCCCTCAACCAAAGTCAACAACTCAGCCCCTTAAAAGGGGTTTAAGGGACGATGCCTCTGAATTAACCCATAGTAACACATCCATCTGTCAATTACATCAAGAAGGCTGATGCCATCCCAGGCAAGCCCTCCCCAAGGAGAGGAAGCCAGGAGAGAGTCAGGGACAGCAGGAGCCGCCAGCCAGGCACTGCCACTACCAACCACTGCAGGAAACCACCTCACAGACCTCAAGGCATCCCTGACGACACCTTGTCTTTATCAGCAGGCACAAAGCAGGCATTTTCAGCCACTGCCAGTTCATCTTTAGCGTGAACACCTCACCTCTTACTCATCGTGCTATAAGAAAAATACCCAAAGGGCACTGATGGTCCATAATATCCAATCAGCTCAAATGTCACTTCCTCGGAAGTCCTCCCCACCCCCGATTCATCCCACGCCAAGTCAGGCATGTACTTCAAAGCACCCTCGATTTTTCCTCCGAAGCACTTACCAGTTATAATCATAGAAAAACCCAAGAGTCACCGTAAATCCTAGATTCTCATCTCTCCCTTAGTCCCTCTACCCCTCACCACGTTAGCAAGACTGGGATGAGGGGTTAGGGGTAGAGGGACTAATGGAAAGATGCTGACTCTCCATCCAAACACATACTCCAAACCCCTCCACTTCCCTCCATCTCTACCGCCACCTCTGCTGTTCCAACCACCATTGCTCTCACGCTGGGACCACAGTGGCAACACCAACCGTTGCTCCTGCCTCCTCTCGCCTCCCTGCATTGCTCATAAAAAGCAGTCCCCTCTGGGCCGGGTGCAGTGGCTCATGCCTGTAATCCCAGCACTTTGGGAGGCTGAGGCAGGTGTATCACTAGAGGTCAGGAGTTCGAGACCAGCCTGGCCAGCATGATGAAACCCTATCTCTACTAAAAATACAAAAACGTGCTGGGCATGGTGGTGCATGCCTGTAGTCCCAGCTACTTGGGAGGCCAAGGCAGGAGAATGGCTTGAACCCGGGAAGCAGGGGTTGCAATGAGCTGAGATCATGCTACTGCACTCTAGCCTGGGTGACAGCATGAGACTGTCTCAAAAAAAAAAAAAAAAAAAAAAAGTAGTCACTTCTGAAACTGATGAACTAGATCACTCCCTCCTTTAACTCTGCAGTGTCTTCCTGTGTCCTTGAGACTAAAACCCGCACACTTGGACTGAAAACCTGCCCTACCAGGTCCCCACCCACCTCTCCAGCCCATCTCCAGTGCATGCTTGTAATCCCAGCTACTCTATTCCTTGGCAGCTACCCTGGGCTTTCCATTCCTTGAACTTGCCAGGATTATTCCTACTTCTGGCTCTTAGCCTGTGCTGTGTCCTCTGCCTGGAATACTCTGTCCCCAGTTATTAAAATGGTAGACTCCTTGTCACTCTGTTTTCAGCTCCACCGTCCCTCCGAAAAGAAGCTTTCCCTGCCCGCCTTATGGAATGTTGGCCACTCCCCCGCCTCCCAAGTGACTCCTTATCTTTCTGCTGATGGCTGTCACAGGTTGTTGTTTACTTGTACATCATCTAACATTCCCCCAGGTAGAATGTGAGCTCCCTGAGAATGGACTGAGTCTTGTTCACAGCACCTACAAGACAACAGTAGGGCATGAATGAAATCTCTAAAGAATCAACAAGGATTCAGCTGGGAGTTCTCCTCCTCATGGTAACTGCTGGACCAAGCACATTAGCAGGCACTTGAATATTTGAAAGAAGGAAAAAGAGTATGGGGACGAGAGAGGAACTGAACAGAGAAATAGGTGAATGAATTTTACAAGGACACGGATGAATTCGACCTGCTGGCGATGATCGGTGATCCCTCCCCTCTTCTCTAACACGCCTTCACCTTATACTCCCCTTTCCCTCGTTCTAAATGTTCTTCTTTCTCTTCCTCTATGCTTTTCCTCTGTCTTCTTATTTTTGGTTCTAGTACTCTCTGCGTTGGGCACCTGAAGATAAGACAGATGCCCGGTCGAGCGCGGTGGCTCACGCCTGTAATCCCAACACTTTGGGAAGCCGAGGCAGGTGGATCACAAGGTCAGGAGTTCGAGACCACACTGATCAACATGGTGAAACCCCGTCTCTAATGAAAATTAAAAAAAAAAAAAAAAATTAGCCGGCATGGTGGCGCACACCTGTAATCCCAGCTACTCAGGAGGCTGAGGCAGGAAAATCACTTGAACCTGGGAAGTGGAGGCTGTGGTGAGCCAAGATCGTGCCATTGCACTCCAAAAGTCTTGACCACAGAGCAGACTCTGGAGGTGACCAAGATCATTATACATTACTCCATTTTAGGCATCAGAGAAAGTCCGTCTCAAAAAAAAAAAAAAAAAAACCAAATGAATAATTTTACTTTTACAGTGGCTTTGAGGCTGCGGTGAGCCAAGATCGTGCCATTGCACTCCAGCCTGGGCAACAGAGGGAGAGTCCGTCTCAAAAAAAAAAAAAAAAAAAAAAACAAATAAAACAGATGCCCCACAATCGGCTTTCATGGCCAGTAGTTTTCAAGACTGGTGACCACAAAACCTAGGTTTCCTCTCTGCATACCTCCTCCTGGAGAGTAACCACATCCCTCAGGAAATGAGAAAGGCTTTCTTCAGGCATGACAGAGAAATCTGAGCTCAAGGGGTGCGATCCTCTTTACCCTGTAAGCTAAACAACCGCAAACAGGAACGGAGAGCCCACAGTCATCCCGGCTGTTTTGTCAGGGTCCCCGTCCCTGGTGAGGCAGAGAGTGACAGAACTTGTCAAGTGCTATAGATTTTTCTTCACCAGTGGAAAGCAGCTTAGTTTCAAAGACTATTTGGTCTTCCTAAATAATCAACCTCTAAAGACAGTAATGATACCCTATTTATCTTTTCAGTGGTTATTGAATAGAATAGGAATCCTAAATCAGGATAGTTTCCGGGCAGTTTTAAGTGACCTCTTGCTGTGCAAACACAAAGAATACACGTCCCCAGAAAGTATGGAAGTAAATGGCTCTAAGTAAGGAAATTCTAGAAGACGGAATAATTATTTCCTTGTTTGAAGATAAGTCAATAAGAGAAGAAAACCACCTGGAGACCTCCAAGAAACCACTGCAGAGCAATGCAAAGGGAATATTATCCAGACGACTCAGAGAAAAGCACGGCTTTGAAATGATTTACTGCAACATCCAGAAGAAAAAATACAAAAAACTCTTTTTGGTATCCATAATAGAGAACAGAGTTTCTGTGAAACTGAAGGAGCAGCAGAGAATCACAATGAATGGACAGGGTTAGCTGGAAAAACAACAGAAGAACTGCGAAGAAAGCAAAAAGGCAGAACTTATGCTTTAAAGATATTTCAGGGGACAAATCCTGGTTCTGCCACTTATCATATGTCCGTAGAAAAAGCCCAACCTCTCAGATGTTAATACTCACCCCCTGAGACTTTTTGTAAGGCTTAAAATATAGACACACACACATAGAAACATATACATGAATACATATATTGGCAACACACAGACACACACACACACACACACACAGGCAAGCATCTTAGAGGTGGCTCTTTGTAACCAATGACTTCCTCATCTAAATCCTGCCCGCTGTGCTCATTCCCACCTTTAAGCTTGCATTTGTTCTTGTTGAATATCTTCCTACCCATTCGTACTTCTACTCATCCTGCAGAGGCCAACAAAAGGCGCACTTCCTCTGAGAACTGCCCATGGGGTTTTCTCCCCTCTCTGACCTTTCACTGCTGCTGTCAGTGCTTTCACTGAACATTATAATATTGAAACTATTCTGCCTTGTATGAGTCTCTGCACTTTCATATAAAAAAAGCTCAAAGAGAACACATACTTTCTGAAGTCAAAGGCTGCATACATTTTTCTATTGTTTGTTTATTTACTTATTTTTTTGAGACAGGGTCTCACTCTGTTGCCCAGGCTGGAGTACAGTGGTGCGATCACAGATCACTGTACTCCAGCCTCGATCACAGCCTCGACCTCCTGGGCCGACGCAATCCTCCTTTCTCAGCCTCCCGAGTAGGTGGGACCACAGGCACTTGCCACACCCGGCTAGGAGTTTTGTTTTTTTTTTTTTTGGTACATATGGGGTCTCCCTATGTGGCCCAGGCTGTATATATATTTTTATATCCTCCATAATGCTTGGAACTCTTGAGCTCAGAGTGACTTGTTAAGTTGGGCTCTCTGGAGAAGGAACAAACAGGAAGGGTCTCCCCAACTTCAGAGTGACTGCTTGCTAGTGAGATCCCAGCTCACATTTACCTTCTATAGAATCACCCTCTTATCACCCCTCCTTCAAGTAAGGTGGAGGGCCCAGGAGCCAAGAAGAAGGAAAAGAAGAAATACTAAAGGTCAGAGACAACAGGAGTGTGTGCTTAGTCAGGATTTATAATGGGAGAGAGAAGGGTGTTTGTGGTTTTGTTGTTTTGAAATCTCAGGGTAAATCTGGCAATGGGAGACTGGTTACCAGGAATTGAGTTTGTGGAGCCCTTGGGTGATACATTCTAAACACATCCCCATCTTACCTATATTGTGCTTGAAAGTGGCTTTGCACAAAGCTTTGACCTAGAGGAAGCTGAGCTGATGGTGACAGGCAGTTCTCAGAGGTTTTATTGGCTTCAGGTGGAAGCTGCAAAGAAATGAGGAAAGGAAGCCAGATTAGATACACCTCTCGTCACTCAACTGCTTCCAGACCACCGAGCCCATGCTTCCTCCTGGGCCCACATCATCCCTTTCTGGGCTTCCGTAGAGTCTCAACCTTCAGTGCTGCCTTTACCATAACTCAAGTTTCTTTCAATCCCCTGACCTCCCAAATTCTCTGGGACAAAGAGTATGTGTGTATTAAAGAGCAAACCTGAGCCTGAACCTGGGCAGATGCTCGCTCATTCTCATCAGCCTCACCTGTTCCCCCTGGATGGACGGCCCTGTGCATTATCTCTGTCCCACTCGACTTCAATGTCTAGGTGCCTCTTGTATATTTCACAGGGTGGGCTTGCCATCACCTCAAATGCATCCACACCAAATATCTCCACCTTCCACCTGCCTGCTAAATCATTCCTGCCCACATTTTCCAAGGAGCCAGTTTCACATAAGTATTCTCTTTTGCAGGCAAATGAGTCTTTGAGTTTTTCAATTTGGGGCACAAGCTTCCTTCACTCCATCCCTCAGTGCTTGTGTCCTTCACATTCCCCTTGCGTTTCCTCGTTTCCTGTGGCTGCGATAGCAAATTATCACAAACTGAGGGCTGTTAAACAATAGCTTATTCTCTCACAGCAGCCATCCAAAATCAGTATCACCGCACTGAAATCAAGGTGTGGGCAGGGTTGCACTCCCTCCAGAGGCTCTAGGTGAGAATCTGTTCCTTGACTCTTCCAACTCTGGTGGCTGCCAGAATTCCTTGGCTTGTGACCACATCACTCCAGTTTTCAATCCTAGCATCTTCAACTCTCTCTCTGCTCTGTCGTCACATAGCTTTCTCCTGCGTGTGTCTCAAATCTCCCCCAGCCTCTCTTTCAGAAGAACACTGGTAGCATTTAGAGCCCACCTGGATAATTCAGGTTAATGACCCCATCTCAAGATTCTTAATCACATCTCCAAAGTCTTTACCCTAGAAGGTAATGATATGATGTGGCTGTGTCCCCACCCAAATCTCATCTTGAGTTGTAATCCCCACAATCCCCGCATGTCTAGAGAAAGACCTGGTGGGAGGTGATTGGATCATGAGGGCGGATCCCCCGTGCTGTTCTCGCGTTAGTGAGTTCTCATGAGAGCTGATGGTTTTATAAGGGGTGCTTCCCTTTGCTGCTCACTCTTCTCTCTCCTGACGCCTTGTGAAGATGGTGCCTGCTTCCCCTTCCACCATGACTGTAAGTTTCCTGAGGCCTCCCAAGTCACGTGGAACTGTGAGTCAATTAAACCTCTTTCTTTTGTAAGTTACCCAGTCTCAGGTATTCCTTTATAACAGCGTGAAAACAGACTAATACAGATAACATCTACAAGATGCAGCAATTAGGACCTCATGTCTTTGGGAGTCATTTTTTTAGCCTATCTGACCTCAGGGCTTCTGGGTGCCCTGATGCCACCAACCTCCTCTGGACCCCTACCACTTCCAAAATGAATTAATCAATCTTTCTCGTTTCCCTAAATTTATTCTTCATCCCGTGTCCATTCCCTACCACACATGGTACACAATTTTTTAATTAAGGCCCTGTTACGCCAAAATTTCTGTCCTGGAAGATGTCTGTCCCTAAGGGCAATCCCAGAATCAAAGCCACTCATAATACAACACTATTTAGTAAAATATAAACTTACCTATATAAATATCTATGCAAGGCCCCACATAAAATATGCCCCAGACCAGCATCTCTCAACTTTTTCATCTTTACTCCCCTCATGGAGTCTTTTTAGACAATTTTTTCTAACATTCCCACCATGAAACTCGAATACCATGGATACACTGTGCATGCGTCTATATATACCTTTAGAAGAACAGGCAGGCAGTGAGGTGTACGTAAAGACCTGGGTGAAATCAGAGGTAAATGTTGAAGGATTTTAGAAAGCAGATGACAGAACCAGGCAAAAGGAACACATGTGAAGCGTCTGGGGTAAGGTGTGCAATTTACTTCAAAGTACATCCAAAAAATAAGATGAGGGAAAAAAAGATATGAGTAATGAGTGGATAGAGAGACAGATGGGTAAATGTGTGATAAAGCAAATTTAGTACAACATAAGTTGTAGAATCTAGGTGATGGGGAGGAGTGTTCACTTCATAATTAATTCAACTTTTCCATATGTTTGAAATTTTTCATAATAAAATATTGAGATGAACAAGTTATGAGTGCTCAAAATGGTCATTCTTATATGTCCTAATATTTTATGACACTCAATTTGCCTAGGATACAGGATGTGCAAAGGGAAGTAGAAAACAGGGCTGGAATGTGAGTCTGGTGCCACAATGGGTGGGGACTTCTATGTCCTAAAGGAGACTACCTGGCTCAGTGAACAGCATGGTACCAGGGTCAAGAATGTCCAAATCAGGCTGGGCACAGTGGCTCACACCTGTAATCCCAACACTTTTCGAGGCCAAGGCGGGTGGATCACCTGAGGTCCGAAGTTCAAGACCAACCTGGCCAATATGGCGAAACCCCATCTCTCCTAAAAATACAAAAATTAGCCAGGCATGGTGGCAGGCACCTGTAATCCTAGCTACTCAGGAGGCTGAGGCAGGAGAATCACTCGAACCCTGAAGGCAGAGGTTGCAGTGAGCCGAGATTGTGACACTGTCCTCCAGCCTGGGCAACAAGAGAAAAACTCCATCTCAAAAATACAAACAAACAAACAAACAAACAAACAAAAAGAATGTCTGGGCATGTGCAGTGGCTCATGCCTGTAATCCCAGCACCTTGGGAGGCTGAGGTGGGTGGATCACTGGAGGTCAGGAGTTCAAGACCAGCCTGGCCAACGTGGTGAAACCCTGTCTCTACCAAAAATACATAAATTAGCCAGGAATGGTGGCACACATCTGTAATCCCAGCTACTTGGGAGACTGAGACAGGAGAATTGCTTGAACCCGGCAGGCAGAGGCTGCAATGAGCTGAGATCACACCACTGCACTCCAGCCTGGATGACACAGCAAGACTCCGTCTCAAAAAAAAACAAAAAAAAAATGTCCAAATCCCTACACCGGTACTTGATTACAAGTTACTCGACTGCTCTGATCCAGCTAAAAAAGTTACTTAATCTCTTTGCTCCATGATTTCCCAACTATAATAAAGGGATAATGACAGTACCTGTCTGATAGGGATTCTCTGAGTATTTAAAGAGTTTCTATATATAAATCACAAGGCTGAGTACGGTGGCGCAAGTCTGTAATCTCAGCACTTCGGGAGGCCGAGGTGAGCATTACTTGAGGTCAGGAGTTCAAGACCAGCCTGGCCAACATGGTAAAACCCCATCTCTACTAAAAATACAAAAATTAGCCGGGTGTGGTGGTGCACACCTGTAATCCCAGCTATTCAGGAAGCTGAGGCAGGAGAATCACTTGAGCCCAGGAGGCGGAGGTTGCAGTGAGCTGAGATCGCACCACTGCACTCCAGCCTGGGCAACAGAGCAAAACTCTGTCTCAAAAAAAAAAAAAAAAAAAAAGAGAGCATATGTACAAAACACTTAGAACCATGCCTGGCACAAAGCACAGTGTAGGTGGTGGTTGTTATTACACAAGGGGGAGTACCTGATGAGTTTTGAACTCAGGTGGTAGGAACATGCTTGGAGAGATGCTTTAACTTGACAGCTACTGACTCCCAGATGAAGAAGTATAAGTTTGGAGGTTAGGACACAGATTAGTAGGCTCAAGCATTCAGGAAACAACAGGATAAGGTAGAACACGAGCCATGAAGATGAAAAGGAGGGATGGATTCCGGACACCTGAGGACGTAGCTTCACCAATCAGCCCCTGACTGTGGGAGTGGAGGAACGTGATCAACTTCAAGGATCCAGTCTGGTGCCCGGCGAACCCCGGTTCCATTCACAGAGAGGCAAAGTCAAAAGGAGAGGTGTGTTTGGGATGGGCATGCTCAGTTTGAGGTGACTCAATATCCAGGCAGAGATATTCATGACAAATAGGGGAAGAGCACTTGGAGGAGCTAACTTGGATGCATAGCGGACCCTGGCGTATTTTGACTGCCCTGTATACACTACTCCTCCTTTGGTAGTAGCAACCCCCGTTTTGGAACCCTGAATCCAGTCCATGCATGGAGAGGGGTCTTTAATCAAGGGTCCCGCCCTCACCTACCAAGGGATAGGCCCATGGCCCAAGCAAGCCACACTGAGATGCTCCTACTCTGAATGTGAATCATGACCAGAGTGGCCAATGGCTGAAAACATTTCTGCAGACTGTGCTGTCCAGGGAAGAGAACGGAGCAGTTCCTGCTGCTGCTGAGATACCCTTAGAGCTGCCTGATTCTTGACAGTTCTAAGTTGGTCCTTCAGCCTTCCCTGTCATCCAGTGTGAGGCTCCTTGGCCTTCTCCTAAGTCCCCTTTCTTGTTTGAGTCAGCTCAAGGCAGTTGCTGTTGCTTGCAACCCAAGAATTCACAATGACACTGAACAGCATCGGGAGAGGCTGTGGACAGGATCACCCAGGGAAGGGCATGGAGAAAGAAAATCCTGAAAGAGGCTGGAGTGAGGGGCAGCAGGGGGTCATTCACAAAGCACAGACAATGAGGTCAAACGCGCTGGCTCTGCTCTGTTAGCTGAATGACACTCAGCCTCTCTCTCTGAGCCTCATTCTACATCTAACACATCAATTTCATGGAGCTACCATTAAAATCACAGGGGATGACCTGCACAGTGGCTCATACCTGTAATCCCAGCACTTTGGGAGGCCAAGGTGGGAGGATTGCTTGAATCCAGGAGTTTGAAACCAGCCTGGACAACATAGTGAGACCTCGTCTTTACAAAACTAAAAAATTAACCAGGTGTGGTGGTGCATCCCCATAGTCACAGCTACTTAGGCGGGAGGCTGAGGCAGGAGGATCACTGGAGCCCAGGAGGTCAAGACGGCAGTGAGCTATGATCACTCTACTGCACTCCAGCCTGGGCAACAGAGTGAGGCCCTGTCTCAAGAAATAAATAAATAAATATAAAAACAATCTCAAGAGATGACATGTATTGTGTATCTTCCCTGCACATAGTCAGTGCTTAATACATGTCAGCTTCCCGATCCTCTCCCCAGCCTCATCCCCTACTTAATTCTGCAAGAGCGGCATTTTCTGGAAAGCGAACTGATAAAAACATTGTGTTAGGGTTTCTAAAAGGGTAATAAAAAGGTGCCCTCTTTGCAGGATGAAAACATTTGAGGATCAGTAAATTAACAGAAAAGAAAGCGGCCCTTATGGTTTTTATTCCCGTTTCAAATAAATCTAGCTACATGGCTTTGCTATGTCTTGAAAACAGAAATAACCTCAAAGAGAAAAAAAAAAAAAATCAGAGTTTCACAGACGACAGAGGCTTTCCTTCTAGGAAAGGGAAAATGAAGTTTCACGCCGGATAATCCCAACAGCTCTGTTCTCTATCTTCAAGCGTACACAGCCGGGCCTCTGCGGGCAGCCCAATTTTCTGAGAGCAAATTTCAGGAGAGGCTTTGACCCACCCAGAGAAAGAGATCTTTTCTGGTTTCAATCAGGTCAAACTAAGGGCGGCGTAAGCTCCTCTCTCTAGCCAATAGCCAATAGCTGGTCTTGCCTGGCTGGTCTACTCCTAACACCCCTGGCCCCTTAAGGAACAGGAAGTAGCTGGAGAGATCAAGGCCAGGGAGCCAGGGGCGGAGGGGTCTGGAATCAGACGGGGCCCTGTCAGCCACATACGAGTCTGAATTTTGTTCTAAGTGCTATTGGAAGCCAGTGGGGGAATTTAAGCAGAAGAGGGACAAGCTCCTATTTCCTTTCTATCTGGCGGTAGTGTGGAGTATATTGCAATAGGACATATTCGAAATTGGAAAACCAATTTTGGTTGCTTTTACTTGTGTCTTGAAGTTGTTAAAAAGAATTACTGGACGGGCGTGGTGGCTCACGCCTGTAATCTCCGCACTTTGGGAGGCCGAGGCAGGCGGATCACGAGGTCAGGAGTTCGAGACCAGCTTGGCCAACATAGCAAAACCCTGTCTCTACTGAAAATACAAAAATTAGTCAGGCATGGTGGTGCACGCCTGTAGTTCCAGCTACTCAGGAGGCTGAGGCAGGAGAATCGCTTGAACCCGGGAGGCGGAGTTTGTGGTAAGCTGAGATCGCGCCACTACACTCCAACCTGGGCAACAGAGCGAGATTCCATCTCAAAAAAAAACAAACAAAAAAGAATTACTGCCAGGCCTTCTTGGCTGAAATAAACACAATATTATCTTAAAGAAAGGTCTAGGGGTGGTACACCACAATGAGGAACAAAGGTTCTAGAGCAGTGGCTCTCAACTGGGTTGGGGGAATGGTGATTTTGTCACCATCCCCATTCCCATCCCAGGGGACATTTGGCAATCTCTGAAGACATTTTTGGCTATCATAGATAGTCAAATGCCTAGTCTAGATGCCTACTAGACTGGCATCTAAGAGGTAGAGGTGCTACTAATGCTACCAGGAACAGGACAGCCATCCTCAGAAAAGAATCAACTGACCACAAACATCCAACAGTGTCGAAGTTAAGGAAGCCTGTTACAGAGTTGAGTTTACTGGATTTGGGTCCTAGCTCTCTCACTTAATAACTGCGTGACTTGGGGCAAGTTACTTAACCTCTCTGTGATCTTCTCCACCCTTAATTAAGCCCAATGCTTTTTCCTGCTACCAAGAGATAGAAAAGGAAAATTGAAAGGCTATCTATCCCACCTACCTTAGAAGTAGGAAGACCTGCCTGGTATAGCCAGGGAGAGGGGAGGGAAAAAAACAGGATAAGAGGCTCTTCCTATGCAGCCAGCAGGAAGAGGTACCACCTATCTCTAAGTCTCCACTCTCCGCCATAGGAAATTGAGAAAGCACAAGGAATGCTTTAGGGAAAGGAATCTGACACACTGGCTTTGAAATAGACAGAGCCAGGTTCAATTCTATCTTCACCAAGTAGAAGTTGAGTGGCCTTGAGCAACTTAACCTAAATTTCCATTGACTGTAAAATATGAGTTATCCTTGTAATAGTAAAGCATGATGACTAATTTAGTCAATCACTTCAAGAGTTTATTGTCTACTCTGTGTCAGGTAGGGAAAGAAATTGTGCAAAGCATCAAGTTAGATCCCTGGCACATAACAAACATTCAATAAACAGTATCTTTTTAAAAAATATATCCTTCTGATTTCAAAATGTGTTCACTATAAACTTGTGGAATCTACAGTATAGTAGACATATGTTTATCTGCTCAGCATTCCTTTCTTTGGGGAAGCAAACTGTTCCATTTCTATAAAAGCTCTCCTTGGCCCACGTTCACCCCCACAGGCATGCAACCCAGCTGCACCCAATTAGAATATTCCATTCTTCTGGCCACATGCCCAGGAATGGACATGTGAACCAAGCTGAGACAATCGGACTCTTCCCTGGGCTTTTTCTGGAATCCCAAGCTCTAAAGACTACACGAGCATTGCAGAAGGCCATCTTGTTACCATCTGGGCAGAGTCAGTCTGAAAATGGATTCAGAGACAAGGGATAGAGACATAGTCAAAGACCTGGTGATGTCATCTGAGTCCCTGGATCCAGCCCTACCTGAAGCTGGTCTGACCCTTGGACTCGCAAGTTATAAAAGTCAATAAATGCCCTTTCATTGAGTGAGACTAAGTTAAATTTCTGTCACTTACAACTAAAAGGCATCAGAATAAGATAAACAGGAAATCATGGCACCCCTAATCTCAAAACCCAGAGAAAACACCATGACCTTTGAATGTGTGGTCCTCCCAGGTTTTATTGGGGTGATTATTTGCTTTGTTTCATTTGTATGTTTTGGGAATGACTGGGGTGATTATTTTTAAAATAAGAAAATACGTTTTCAAACCAGACCCCTTGGGCTTGAATCCTGACTCTGTCCTTTACTTAGCTGTGTGGCTTTAAGAAGGTTACCCAATCTCTCTGATACATGAAACATATATAGTTATGTTCTCCTTTTCTTAAAGTTGTAAGTTGACATTTTAAGAGAGAAAAAAAAAAGAAAGGTAACAGCTGGAAAACATAAAGGAAACAGACAAACTTCAGGAAAATAAGACTAAGCTTCCTAAGCTGTTCATTCTTTATTACGCTAGAATGACGGGCTCCAAGCAAACACTGAAGGGATGGGAAGGTGATGGTTGAAAGATCTAAGCACTTTCCAAGGGTTTTTTTATTTGATTAATGAAAAGGATGAGAATAACGTGTCCAGATTTAAAACAAAACCAAAAAACTGGTAAAACAGTTCTCATGGCTGCATCTGGATCAGCCATGTGATACATCAAAAGGTATGTGTTATTGATTATCAAAGCTCATGAAACTTTTCTTCTATTACAGCAGATTATTCGTGGATGTTGTTAAAATAACTTTGCTCACTCATTGATATGGAATTATCGAAGTTCATGAAACTTTTCTTCTATTACAGCAGATTATTCACAGATGTTTTTAAAATAACTTTGCTCACTCATTGATATGGTTCGGCTGTGTGTCCCCACCCAAATCTCATCTCAAATTGTAATCCCCATAATCCCCACATGTGGAGGGAGGACCTGGTGGGAGGTGATTGGATCACCGGGGGCAGTTTCCCCCATGCTGTTCTTGTGATTGTGAGTGAGTTCTCATGAGATCTGATGGTTTTATAAGGGCTCTTCCCCTCACTCTCTCTCTTTCCTGCCACCTTGTGAAGGAGGTACTTACTTCTCCTTCCACCATGATTGTAAGTTTCCTGAGGCCTCCCCAGCCATGTGGAACTGTGAGTCAATTACACCTCTTTCCTTTATAAATTACCCAGTCTCAGGTGTGTCTCTTTTTTTTTTTCTTTTTCTTTTTTTTTTTTTTTTTTTGAGACCAGGTCTCACTATGCCACCCAGGCTGGAGTGCAGTGGCGTGACCTCAGCTCACTCCACCTCCCACATTCAAAGGATTCTCCTGCCTCAGCCTCCCGAGTAGCTGAGATTACAGGAGCGCACCACCACACCGGCTAATTTTTGTATTATTAATAGAGATGGGGTTTTGCCATGTTGGCCAGGCTGGTCTTGAACTCCTGACCTCAAGTGATCTGCCTGCCTCGGCCTTCCAAAGTGCTGGGATTACAGTCATGAGCCACCACACCCGGCCTCAGGTATTTCTTTATAGCTGTGTGAGAATGGATGAATACTTTCATAATATAATAACTTCATTCGCTTTTACTTTCTTAAGTGGGAGACAGAGGACTGGCATTAGAGCATAAGCCATCATTGAGCAAAGTCCATAAAGACTGCACCTGAGGTATCAATCAGCTGTTCTTATGACAAATTATTGTAGTGCTTTCCTCCTCTGAAAGGTTTGGGGTTTCATCAAAACCTGGGGATGCTAAATGCACATGTGTAAAAATCATCCACCCTGTGTCGTGAGAGGAAAAGTTAACAGTTAGTGCTCTGTAGAATACATAACTGAGAAAGCAATGGTAGAGTTCAAATGGTACCATCTGCAAATAATAAGGAACGGTACTCATGGCCTTGGATGACCACACTAATGTACGGAATACAAACCAAAGAAAAGACTTTTCATTTTTTGAGCCAAAATGAAACTCTATTCATTATATCACTGGGACAAAGAGAATGAGAAATACTGGAATGGAAGGAAATGCCTTGTGTAAAACAAACACAGCTAAGAGAAGGGAGCAGGGAATGGACTGTGGATATAGTAGCCAGACTATATAGGAATTTAAGAATCTCAATTTCAAGATTCAGTTTTGAGGAGCTGAGTCAATATTTAGAGGAAAAAAAGAAAACCCAGTACATTGGGTTGTTTTGAGAGTGACCGACCTTCTCCAACACCGGCCCTCGGGATGAACCCTCCAGGTCCTCGTGTACACGATCCAGCAACCAGAGCAGGAATTCCAGAGCGTCATGCTGGGAATTGCCTTGGAACTGAGAGCCATACTTGGAAACTGCATTCTGAAAGGAAAAAAAGGAAATCCAGAGGTGAATTTGGCCCCTTATACAACCAAACGAAGGCTCTGTGAGCACCAGGTCTACCAAGTGGTCATTATTCAGCCCTGACCTGGGATGACAGCATGCAAACCGCTGGGGTGGAAATGTTCTTTCATGCCAAAGCCCGCCCTTTTGGGGCAATGTCCCCAAACGGTATGAGGGTCTCTGTATATAGGAGAAGATATTTTCTTTCCAGAGGCCTGCTAATGTATGTTCTATCCTTTGAAAACCCAGAGGGTAGTCTCTGTTGAGTATTTTGATACTGTTGACCACCTGACCCACCGAAGCTCTCTCCCTGTGACTGCTGGGGTATGATGCTCCACTAGTCTTCCCTCCATTGGTCTATTCTCATGCTGCCTCTCTCTGTTCGCCTAGATAGTGAACAGCCTTCTCGCCGTACTTGCTCTCCCTTGCTGATTTCATTCATTCCCGTAACTTCAACTTTCTTCTATCAGAATACTGACATTTGCAGTGAAGTTGCTTTCCTTAAGTACCATTGCATGTAGCTCCTCTACTGTCTCTTTCTAACATGTGTGAAATTTAAGGGTACAAACTTGTTTCTGTGGTTAGGTCCTCAAACGGTTGAACCAGCCCTTCACTACTTTGATAAATACGTATTGAGTGCCAACCACACGCCAGGCACTATTCTAGGGACCGGGGATACAACAGTGAACAAAACGGATGAAGACTCACTGCCCTCGTGGTGTTTGCATTCCTGGTCCCCCTTGCGCTGTCCTTCTATTGAATTGTGTAGCAACTTTGTCATTCTCTGCATAAATGCACACTCCAGCTTTTTAAAAGTTTATTGCAAAGAGTAATATATGCACATACTAAAAAACAATAATGCAATAAAAAAGGATGATAATGAACTCTTCCTTCTACCTGGCCTTCATCCCATGGTACCCCTTCTCAGGGGACAGCCACTTTTAGCACTTCCTTCAGTATCTTTCCAGGGACTTTTGCTATACATGTGTGAGCATGTGGGCATCTGGATGTAAGCAAATCACTTGTCTATGTGTTCACACATGCACATGCACACAGCACACGATGGCTGTGGGTCTCACTCTTAGACTGCAGAGCCAAACCTCCAGTCTCATCCCACGCAGGTCTGTTCTCTGCTCACGCCTGCCAAAGGGACTGGTCTTAGCCAGGCTGAGGACCAGGACAATCCTTAATGCTGCCAATCAAATCAGGCGGTCTGGGTTTTTTTTTTTTCTTTCTTTCTTTCTTTCTTTTAATTTTCCCTTGAGATTTAAAGGAGCCTTTAGAGGCCAGGTGCAGTGGCTCATGCCTGTAATCTCAACAATTTGGGGGGCTGAGGCAGATGGATCACTTTAAGTCAGGAATTTGACACCAGCCTGGCCAATATAGTGAAACCCTATCTATACTACAAATACAAAAATTAGCTGGGCGCGGTGGTGCACGTCTGAAATCCCAGCTACTTGGGAGAGTGAGGCAGGAGAATTGCTTGAACTTGGGAGGTAGAGGTTGCAGTGAGGAGAGACTGCACCACTGCACTCCAGCCTGGGTGACATAGTGAGACTCTTGTCTCAAAAAACTAAAAATAAAAATAAAAGAGACTTTAGGATGAGACAAAGCAAAAATGCAAGATTTAATTAACTGAAATGCTGGTTTTGAGTCTTTTTTTTTTTTTTAAGACAGTGTTTCACTCTTGTTGCCCAGGCTAGAGTGCAATGGCGCGATCTCAGCTCACTGCAACCTCCACCTTCGGGTTCAAGTGATTCTCCTGCCTCAGCCTCCCAAGTAGCTGGGATTACAGGTGCCTGCCACCCCACCCAGCTAATGTTTGTATTTTTAGTACAGATGAGGTTTCCCCATGTTGTCCAGGCTGATCTCGAACTCCTGACCTCAGGTGATCTGCCCGCCTCAGCCTCCCCAAGTGTGGCCCTGAGTCTTTATGCCAATCACATTAGTTTGGACTCTTCCCCCAGGCTTCTCTGCGTGTTGATTCCCAAGTAGGGCTACCAGATTTAGCAAATAAAAATACAAGATGCCCAGTTAGATTTGAATTTGACATAAACAATGAATACGTTTTTAGTAGAAATATGTCCCATGCAATATTTGGGACGTATTTACACTAAAAAGTTATTCATTTTTTATCTGCAATTAAAAGTCAGCTGGGCATGGTATATTTTTCATCTGGCAACACTACCCTCAAACAACCCTCAAACCTATCTTCTTGTACCAACACATTCTCTTCGGGGTGAGCAGCTGGTCCTTCCAACTCAAAATCTCTAAAACCAGCTCATCCTTTTAATGTAGGTGTCGTCTTTCAGGTTCTCCTTCATATCGGTCAGCTGTCAAGCAGTCTGGATGCTGGCTCCCAAATGTCTCCACCCTCCCCCTATAGAAGAGTCTCATTCCAACTGTTGAGTTCCACCTGTAGCTGACCCAGACAACAATATGTACCTAAGGAGGGGCCCAGCTCCTAGGTTCTCCCCTTGCCAACCCACTGACTTCATGGTAGACCAGACCAATTTTCCTACAGCTCAGCTGAATATTGTCATGCTCTGACTCTAAATCCTTCCTTACTCTCCTGCTCACCACCAAACAGTCCAAGAACCCTCTCTGGTTCAGTCCCAAACCATATCACTCCATGTTTCAAAGCTCCAGGTAAGTAATCCACCTAGCTGCCCCAAACATGCTTTCCTACTTCTACAGTCTAGACCTTTACTTTTTTTTCTTTCTTTTTCTGAAACGGGGTTTTGCTCTTGTTGCCTGGCTAGAATGCAATGGCACGACCTCGGCTCACTGCCACCTCTGTCTCCCAGGTTCAAGCGATTCTCCTGCCTCAGCCTCCCAAGTAGCTGGGATTACAGGGGCCTGCCATCACACCTGACTAATTTTTGTATTTTTAGTAAAGATGGGGTTTCACCACGTTGGCCAGGCTGGTCTCGAACTTCCGATCTCAGGTGATCCACCCACCTCGGCCTCCCAAAGTGCTGGGACTACAGGAGTGAGCCACCGCACCTGGCTTAGACCTTTGCTTTTGTTCTTCCTTCCATGTGAAATCCATTCCTCTCCAGTTAATCATGATGATCCTTTAAGCCTGACACTCTTCATCTTAGCCTGGCTGTAGTACCTGACAACCTTTTCAGAAAGGAGGTGACAACTTCAAGAAGCCAAGACAAGATAGGGTCTTCAACATGTCCCTCTCTGTAAATGGCAATTCCACTTTGGGGGATTTTGCCTTAGGAAATGAGAGATATAAGAAAAGATGTCTTCACACATCAAAGTTATCTGGGTGAAAACTTATGACACAGTCAGATGGCCTTAAAATTTATGACTGATGAAATACAAGTGATAAAGAAAATAATAATCTGGTCATAAGAAGAAAAAAATGCAAAAATACATATTTGAGATTGTTTTATATATATATTCATAGATAGAAAAATAAAAGACCAGAAAATACATGGCAAAATAGTAGCAAATGGTTATCATAGAATAATGGGATCATGAGCAATTTTTTAATTTTCATTTGTAAATGACAAAGTTTTTTAACAGTGAACATTGTTCTTTATTTGTCTTTTTCCAATTATAAAGTATTTGGCAGGTATTTCTCAGAATTATTTTTAATAACCTCCTGATGACTAGAGAAGTCATTCCCCTAGAAAGTCTATGGAAACAGGCTAGGGGTTGTGGTTTACGCCTGTAATCCCAGCATTTTGGGGGGCCACGGTGGGCAGATCACAAGGTCAGGAAATCAAGACCACCCAGGCTACTAAGGTGAAACGCGATCTCCACTAAAAATACAAAAAATTAGCTGGGTGCGGTTGTGGGTGCCTGTAGTTCCAGCTACTCGGCAGGCTGAGGCAGGAGAATCACTTGAACCCAGGAGGTGGAGGCTGTAGTAAGCCGAGATTGTGCCCCTGCACTCCAGCCTGGGCAACAGAGCGAGACTCTATCTCAAAAAAAAAAAAAAAAAAAAGTCAGTCTATGCAAACATAACTAGAACTTTCCAAAGCAGTTCCCAAGAAGTTAATTAGCTTGGGAAGAATGAACTGCAATATTTGGTTACTTATCCCACATCTTTTTTTTTTTTCACTGAGGTCTGCTATGTTGACCAGGCTGGTCTTGAACTCCTGGCCTCAAGCAGTCCTCCCATCTTGGCCTCCCAAAGTGCTAGGATTACAGGCATGAGCCACCGTGCCCAGCCCTATATTTGGTTATTTCTCTCCTTCAACATGGCATAACTCCATCTGTGTGTATGTTTTCTTTCCCAAACATTGACAATTTTTAACATTTCTTATTAAAATTATTCCTAGTTATTTCATATTTCTGGTTGTTTTATGAATAAAAATCTAATTTTATATGTTCCAAATGGTTATTTCTTTGATTTTCTACCTTCCATCTGATGTAACTAATGACACTAATAAAGTTAAAATAAGGATTTCTGGCATGTTTTAGCAATTTTCTTTCCGTTTAATATTTTTTACTCCCTTTCCATTTTATGTCTGTTTTGTCCAGAACTTCCAAAACATAAGAGTGGTGAGGAAGGCATCCTTGTTGTTAAAAAGCCATGTCTCCATTATGTCACTGTTGACCTAAAATGGATGCTTAAGCACATAAGAGAATATAAATTCCAGATGGCTAAAATGTTTAATATAACCATAGAAAAGCTGGTACATAAAATCAAATATTTATCATAAGGTATGATATAAATAAATCTAAATCTTCCAATATTGGGGTAGGGGGAAGAAGGAGACAGTTTTGAGGAAATATTTGTAGCAAATATGCCAAGAGCTAAGGAACTTACAGAAACATAAAAACATTGAGACCAAAGCAGAATAGAGAGATGCATAAGAACATTGAGCAGATGGGCCAGGTAAAGTGGCTCACTGGTCAGGAGTTCAAGACCAGCCTGGCCAACATGGTGAAACCCCGTCTCTACTAAAAATACAAAAATTAGTCAGGCAGGGTGGCTACGCGCCTGTAGTCCCAGC